GAGGTGGGAGGTGGGAGGAGGGAGGAGGGAGGAGGGAGGAGGCATGGATATCACAGAGATCATGTTGAAGGAGCAGACATAAGCGCCCCCATGCTCTGCCATGTAGGGATGCTGAGAGGTGTAGAAGCTCTTGAGCTCTTCCGGGTAGTCGCTGTTCTTGTTTGGGAAGGAAGGGTTGAGGTACATCGCTCCAACCTATAGCCCCACTTAAGGTTTCGCAGAGGATTGGAGGTGTTCACCATCATGGCGTCTAACGCTGAAGGCCCCGAGAGAGGATCACCGAGGCCCTGGAGGCTTGTCAAGAGGAGAAGAAGAAAGGGCAGGAAACAGCAGGAAGAGACAGGAGGACGGGGAAGAACGAAAGAGAGGAGAGGACAGCGGGAGCAGAGCTGGGAATGATGGAGTGAAACTAACAAGAAGAAACTTGGAGCTCGCAAGGATCTCGCGAAATTCTTCTTTCGTCTTGTAGCCCAGGTTGTGCAGGCGAGGAAACTTCGCCTGCAGGTTCCCCTGCTCTCTCCGTTACTTTCATGGGGCAGGAGTGAAGTCGAGCAACAAACAAGCTGGAGGAGGAGGCGGACGGAGCAGCGATCAGGTAGAAAGGCGGGCAGAATAATTGAGAAAGGGAGGGAAGTACGGAGCACGCCAATAGAATTGAAGTGAAGGAGCAGCAGCAGCATGGATAAGTGTAGTTTTACCATTTGCGGCAAGAAGGACACCAGCTCGCATTTCTCAAGAACAGCCTGAGAGAAGAAGTAAAAGCAACGAAGAAGATGTCTTGAAGAAGCTAGCAAAGGTTGTAAAAGCAGACATGAGGGAGGAGTAGAATGAAACAAAGGTGTAAACCACTGAGAGCCAGAGTGCAACTGGGCTGAAAAGGAAGCAGCAGCAGCAGAAGCAGTAGCAGCAGCAGCAGCAGCAGCAGCAGCAGCAGCAGCAGCAGCAGCAGCAGCAGCAGCAGCAGCAGCAGCAGCAGCAGCAGCAGCAGCAGCAGCAGCAGCAGCAGCAGCAGCAGCAGCAGCAGCAGCAGCAGCAGCAGCAGCAGCAGCAGCAGCTACCGATATGATTCCTTGTCCTTTCTCCAAGTATTCTGGTTTCTTCCCCCAAACCACTCCTCGCAGCTGCTGCCCGTCTGTGGATGAAGCATTGCCTGCAGTCTCCTGCGATACTTCAGCTCAAACATTCCGACTTCTCTTGTTACCCTTCCATCCTCCCCTTCCACCATCTCCGTCCCTTCTTACCCACTTTCCATCCCCTCTCTCCTTCCTGTCCTCCTTGCCTCCCCTCCTCCTTCCCTGCTCCTCTGCCTCCTCCATACACCCTTGCTCGTCCTCTGCTTACATTCATTACCACGACCCGCTTCTTGGAGGCCTCCATTGCCTTGCTGAGCGTCTGGTTGGAATAGAAGAAGCCGAGGAAAGACCCGCCGAAGTTGGTTGGAAATGCAGACAGGCGCTGCTCCCTGCCATTGCGAGAAGAGGAGAGGAAGCAGAAACGATGGAGGGGGAAAGGAGGGAGGAGCAGCAAGGAGGGAAGAGAGAGAGGAAGGGAAGAAGGGAAGGCAATCAAATGAGAGGGAGTAGGAATTGAAATTGAAGCAACGGCAAAAAGGGATGCAGGAGGAGGAAGAGAAGGAGAAGACGAGTCAGGGGTGTAACTCCACATTCGCATGTATCACGTAGGGAAGTTCAGACTGACGCCGGCGAGAGACAGCTGCTTGTTCCCGAAGAAGTCGAGGATGAAAACATCGCGCTCTGCTGCACCATCATCCTTCTCCCACGCTCTTGCCTATCACCTCTCCCCGCCAGGATCGGCCGAGCTCTGTAAAGCTGCACCATCCGCTGTGAGCTCGCTAGCAAGAGGGGAAGAGGGAAAGAGAGAAAGAGAGAAAGAAGGAAAGAGAGAAAGAGGGAAAGAGAAAAAGAGAGAAAGAGGGAAAGAGGGAAAGAAGGGAAAGAGGGAAAGAAGGGAAAGAGGGAAAGAAGGGAGTGGTAGGGTGGTGAGCGCCAACGGGTATGGTTACCATGCCACTTGGCGCTCTCTCTATCCATGTCCATGGGTCCATTATGAAGAACTGATCGAATGCTCAACGTGAAAAAGTCTCACAGTCTTCAAACAAAGCCAACGTGCCGCAGGCAGACAACAAACAATGTCCCATTTCACTTGGAACAAACTTATCCAATCGTTATCGAAATTATACAAACATGGATAACGCAAAACATCCAAGAGAGAGATCTCTCTGTCTCAGTCTTTCTTTGTTTCATCCCCTGATCTCCTCTCCTTGACCCCATCACCGTGCTGCAGCGTTCTGCAGCAACCTTCCATTTACGTCCTTTCATCCTCCCCCTACGTCTCTCCTCCCTCCTCTCCTGCCACCCCCCCCCCCCTAACGTGGTCTCAACTCACTCGATAGTAGTTACACTTGGCGCCCAGTGCCTGATTGCTGTACCTACAACAAGCAATTACAACGACAACTGGACCATCTGCTCTTACGCTGCAAACGACATATCGTGATCCGCAACGTCAATCTTGAACCCAAGCGACTGCATTTCCTCTCATCAGTCTTGAACAGACCCGCTACCGTCAGCCTCACCGTCAGCACTGTCTCCAACGAAGTTCGCACAAAGATCTCTCCTGCCGGCCCGCCGCTCTTGACCGCCTCCAGAGTCCTGGCGACGGAACGTGTCAACGCAAGGAGCGAGCAAGAGGCAAGGAGCAACGTCTTGAGAGAGTCCATGGTAAAGATCAGAACTCTCTTGTTCAGAGTCTCGTTGACACATTGCTCACAGTATGTCTGTCCCTCAAGGGAGTTGGCACTGAAAGCACATGGCTGGCAGCTGCGGAAAACCGTCAAGGCATCAACTCACACGTGTGAGCAAAACGAACTGCTCTTGTCCTCTTGACGACGAGAATGTTCCTGCCTTGCAGATGTTGCATGGAGCTCTGCCGCCTTCCCCCTGGTATCCTTCTTTACACAGACAGGTGGCGTTGACAAGGATGCTGTTGATCGGGCACAAGATCCTATCAACACTCGAAGCAGCTTGATGAGCTCGCGGGGTCGAGAGGTTGCGAAGGAAGAGGTTGAAGCCCGTCGTGTTGTTGTACAAGAGAGCAGAGAGAGACTTGGTTGGGTTCTTGAAGAAATTGCGCCGAATCCACAGACTCTGCAGCCCTTTCTGGAAGCTCGGGGCCAAAGAATTGGGTGTGTGTATGAGATTGTCATGAAGAAAGAAACGTATTGTCACGATTATCACGATTACGAACATCAGCAGGAAATATGATGTCGCATGTTTGCTCGTTTTTTTCATACTCGGCATCGTAGGTTTGAAGATTCAACTCAGAAGATCTACTGCAATGCCAGGAAACCTTTTTCACCGATATTGTCCTCTAACACTTCTCAGCTTCTTCATCCTCCCAGGTTCCTCTTTGCATCATTGTCCTTTCCTTCTCTCTCTCCTCACTGCCCTCTCCCCTCTCCCCTGTTCCCTCTCCTGTATCCCGTATCCCGTATCCCGTATCCTCTCCCCTCTCTCCTCTCCCCTCTCCCCTCTCCCCTCTCTCCTCTCTCCTCTCTCCTCTCTCCTCTCTCCTCTCTCCTCTCTCCTCTCTCCTCTCTCCTCTCTCCTCTCTCCTCTCTCCTCTCTCTCCTCTGTGCTCTATCCTCTCTCCTCTCTCCTCTCTCCTCTCTCCTCTCTCCTCTCTCCTCTCTCCTCTCTCCTCTCTCCTCTCTCCTCTCTCCTCTCTCCTCTCTCCTCTCTCCTCTCTCCTCTCTCCTCTCTCCTCTCTCCTCTCTCCTCTCTCCTCTCTCCTCTCTCCTCTCTCCTCTCTCCTCTCTCCCCTCTCCCCTCTCCCCTCTCCCCTCCCTCTTCTGCTTTCCCCGGCCCTGCCTCCTTTTCGCTTCCAACAGATGTCGGAGGAAACAGGGCTTTCAGGGTGGGGTCATGAAAGTAAATTAGAGGGGTGGTATGATGGGGTTATAAACGGGAAGAGAGGAACGGGAAAGGATGCAGTGGAGGAGGCGAGCGGGTGAAGGTGTAGTTACTGCACATGTCATGATGAGAGAGGAAAGATGTGCGAGGATATGAAACAACATGCCTCATGGCGACCCTCACCTGCGACATGCTTTCATGTGCGGCAAGCATGAAGGCGATACTGCAAGGAACCGACTTCACCGCATGTAACAACCATCAGCTCTCTGACAGGATTTTTATTAGAATTGGAGTGTATTCTCATTTTCGTTTAAAAAAAACACATTGATGACAAGAAAAAGAAAGGATGAAGGTTGTCCTAAGAGAAGGTTGTTTTCTTCTGATTGAAATTTCGATTGATCCTAATTACATATCAAGTGGAATGAATGAATAATTGTCGTGATTCCCCCTATATCGTTGAGTCGAGATTTCAACATCTCGATAATTCTTTCCCACCATTGCCAGATGCTGGAGATTTTAGTAACCAGCCAGTGGCGTATCCCAACCCAAAACACGGAAGAGCTGTACCCAATATCAACACCAGCAGCGTGTCTCTCCATGTGTATAACGCGTATGCGTCCACTTTCTGTACTTCTGAAATGAACAGAGATTGCTTGTACAACCTGAATGCATAGATATCAGAATCGCAACATTCAGCACTGAGCTACAGCAGTACAGACCTCTGAGTCGTTTGTGCAAATCGTACAGTCCCCCCGTTACTGCTACCCTTGCTGATTGCATGCGTTGCCACATATGCATCGATTTGCATGTCAATGGGCATCACGTTTTGAAGCAATTCTTTTGCAGCCCCAGCACCAATGAGATAGGAGGATGTTCCATACCACATGTGACATGGCAGGTCCTTGATCCATTGACCCTCAGCAAAATCAATCGAGGGTTTCTTGCAGCCATAATCCTGCACAACCATCGACTCTCAGTATTGTGCCAAGGATTGATAAGAAGGTGAATTTAGACATTCAGTACCTTGACCCAGAAAGCGTCCATCGTCAGGTAGAAGCTGTCGCCGTAAAACCAACTATGATTCCCTTCGCGTATCCTCACTCTGTCCATGCTTTCAAGGATTTCCTTTGTCCCATGCTGCATCTCAGCATCCTCCTGACAAAAAATTCATGAGCATAACACTAGTCTGCTACGAATTTTTAACTCAGTACCTCAAAGATCGCTACGATTTCTCCTGGCTTGATTTTTTTCCATATCTCGACATGATTTAAGTAAAGAGCAACAGCATTCCATGACGGAAGCTCCTGCAAACATGTCACCAAGCGAGCAGATCGAATCGCCCATGAGGACAAACGAAGCAAGCAGGATGCATGCGCCGGTGAACATGCTCATAGTCGCGTCATTCAAATCGAGCGAAGATTCTCACCTTCCCGCTATCTCTTCCATAAAGGACATTTTGTTTTGCCCTTGGAGTCAAATATTTCACAAGACTCTCACTTCCTCTCAATCCAATATATCGCTCTGTCGTAACCCCTGGCCAAATGTTCTCCGGAACTTTCCGATCCTCATGGACTGTGATCCAAAACACGCGGCTGACATTGAGGATGTTTTCATGCTTCTCGATACCGTCTTCGCCATTGCCAATGACAGTATGGAAGAGAAAGAGGAAGAGGAAGGGGAGGAGGCGACGAGGAGAGCGAGGCAAGGGAATCGGTTGAATCAGCATTGCCCGTGCCTGCTCAAGAGGAGGGGAGGACGAGCGGGGTTGAAAGGGGGTAGGTACCATGTCTTTCATTCTACCCCCTCCCGCCTATGATATGCTTCACCCCCAACCCCCCTATCTACCGTATCTCTGGTACCTCTGAGTACCCCCCGGACCCGAAGGAAATTTGAATCCCACCCTGACACAGTCAACCCTCTCACCACCCACCACCCCCAGGCTTTTCCGGCCACCTTCAGTGGCCCGGTGCCACTGGGTTATATAAAAAGTTACTACTGGCGGTTTCGGTAGCACGAGGTAGCAGTCCTCCATCCTCCTTGAGAGGGGTGGGGGTGGTATGACCCCACCCCTCTCCTGTCACCCCCGCTCCGATCGGGCAGTGACGCCGCGTCACGAAGATCTGGTCCCGCCGAGCGGCGAGTAAAACATGATGAACTAGCTATGGGATCCCGGTCCCCCTACCCGGCCGCACTACTAGGACGGTCCCGAGGTGCCATGATGACTGTAGGGGGTGGTAGGGGTACTACTTGAGGCTCATCAGATCAGAGGCTCTCTCAAGGCTGGCAACGGTGAGCTCCCAGTCCCGCGTAAAGGCGTGAGAGGGGGGTCATCGGGTGGGTTGCCGGGGGTAGGGTGGATGATGGTTGGTACGCCGGGTCGTGGTCCTTTTGAAAAATTCTTTCTGTTCCTACTAGTTATTTCTTTCAGGGGGACCCCCTCTTGAAAGGCCCTGGCGCAGGGTCCCGGCCGTGCCATGGCCATGACGCTTGCAGCTTCAAGTCCGATCAGATTCACTTCACTCAGCTTTCAAAGTTTGCCCGCGGCGCCGGGGCACCGGCCAGTGACAAGTTTTGAGTGACTGTTCCGGCGGCCATCGCGGCCCCGGCGGCCGGACCGGGTCGGAGGCATGATCCGATGATCATCGGACTGATGGCGGCCTGTGCGACAGAGTCACAGAGTCTCAGGCCGGGCCCCCGTCAAGCCTGCCTCCTCTTCTGACTCCCATGATTGTCACGGGCCTCGGCTACTGATTTTTAACTTCCGACTTTGAGTCAAAAGAGTAGGTCCGGTCGGAGTGAACGGGCTGAGTCACTCCCACCGCCGGCCGGGCCCGGGCCCGGGGGCTGGCGGGCCGCGCGCGGGCCGGGCTCCCTGATCCGACAAGCAAGTTGCCACCGTAGCACCGTCACTCAAATGACGGGCCTTCTTTACTCAAAGTTAAGTGAAAAATCAGTACGAGGACGGGGGTGCTAGAGCTTCGGACTCTTCACTCAAAGTGAAGTGAAAAGATCAGTGCTCATCAGAGGAGTAGTCGAGTGGACGCATTCAGTATGCGAGGGATGCTGTTGGTTCTTCTCCTCTCGAGGGCGATAGGAGAGAGTCCTAGCGAAGAGATCATCACCCGGGAACATAGAGCTTCATGGCAGGGGAAACTCGCGCGAGACGTCTGGGCAGGCGAAGCCATGAACAGCGTTGTCACGAGTGCAAATACTGAGGGAGATCCTCAAGAGCCTGCAGAAGACTCCTCAAGATGCTCGCCGAAGCAAGACTGCGCGAGAATGTAAGCAAGCATGCGCTGATATGCGTCAATGACGACAAGCTCCTGTCTTGAAGGTCCGAACGGAGCTCCCGCACGTGGTTTCCTGCAAGGTGTCAATGCCTGGTGACCTGGGGCGACAAGCTGAGTAGTTTGCAGGTATAGGATGGAAGGCTGCCATGTCAGCAAACCCAGATGTTTAGACTTTCTTGTGGAGCTGCTGGATATATTGGATCAACACAACCTCACGAAATTTCCGAAACAAGCAGAGAGCGTCTTGCGGTGGAAGTGCGGAGCGGAGAAATGCGGGACCTGCGCTGTGGTCGGCAACGCATGGCATCTCGTGGGGTCGTCTTTTGGTGAAGAGATCGACAAGAACGATCTTGTGATTCGGTTTGGAGGAGCCGTAGAGCATGGTGATGACGCGAGGGCCCGCTGGCAGAGAAAAGCTCATGAATGTTGGCAGTTGGGTTCGAGGGCGATGTGGGAACAAGAAGTGACCTCCGAGTTGTCTATCATTCAACGGCTCCCCGACGCAGAGTGTCGGATGGGGAGAGGATCCTGCACCTGCTGACGCGGTAGGACGCTGATGCTCCCGCCATGATCTCATAGGGCGCAGAATCCCCGACGACTTGAGGAGCCACTTGCAACTTCACCGCAGGTTTGCGGCTGGGGGAAACATCACAAAGGACGAGGACCATCGTGTTCTCCTCTTCTCGCCCTGGCTCATACAAGCTGCAAGAAAGCAGCTGGGATGGGAAGATTCGTTCTCTTCAGGTGCGCTCCTTGATGCCCTCGTGAAGTCGACACACAAGATGTGGTGCAGACTTTGGGAAACGATTTCCTAGCGCTGGTCTCTCTGTTCTTGCATGGACTCTACAACACTGTGAGTTCCTCGTGTTTGATGATGATGATTTCAACGAGGAGGAGGGAAACGGCGGCTCATGTCAAAGAAACATCACGTGAGACTATGTTCAAGGATGAGAACTTACAAGCAAGCTATATTGTGGAAACTTGATTGAGGAGGAGAGAGATGGAGAATCAGCTTGTGACATGAAACTCCGCTTACAATGAAGATGCAGGCAAGCGGGTCAACAGTTACGGCTTTGGGGGAGGCCAACCGCAAGGAGCTTGGCATTACTGGGAGCTACCAGAGGAGGCGTCAAGGTGAATGCTTTGCATACTTACTTGTTGATGAAGTCACCTGTCAGAACGAAGGATCACTCATGGGATCAAGAAGAAGAAGTCAGAGAGTATCTCGCCCATCAGAATTTCTTGTTCGAGCATTTCCCTGCTGATTCGAATGCATCGACCGTTGACCAGGTCTCGAGCAACCCTCCTGTGGGACCTCACAGTCTCCTCATCTTGTGGTCGCAGGTCTGGTCGCGAGTGTTTCACGGTCATGTCAAGGTAGGGTCAGCCGTGCTGTGCTCTCAGCGCTCTTAAGGTATGCTCCTCCTCAGGCTGAGCCTCGTCGCTTCTCCCTTCCAAACTCCTGGCAAGGTGCCTTTCTGTCACCCTCCTTCTTGTCTCTCACACTCACAAAACAGCCTCGCCCATCTCCAAGCTCGTGCTGCTTGCTCCCGTAGATGGGTAAGCGCCCTACCTCCAACTTGATGGGGGCTGAGCAGCAGGTGTCTCATCCATGGTCCACAGCTCGTGCGTGTCGTCAGCCTCGGTGGCTGTATACCTCCTCTACAGCCGAACAAGCGACAGACCTTGCAGGCAGCAAGTGAGTTGCGGGGAGGTTGACGCGTGTAGAATGATCCTTCTTGCAGGTTTGTGCTCCCAGGAATCTTGACTTCTCTATCCTCCTCGACGGTCATACAGTCGCTCACCTCACAGGAGCAGCAGTGACTGATCGGTCGTTCTTACTTGAAGCCTTTGTCGCCTTGACGAGAAACATTGACTTCTTTTTGCAGTTTGACTCACTTCGTGTTGCCGCAAATGTCACATGGATGGCATGATGTTGACGTTATCGATCACGGTTAATTTTTCTTGTTATTCTTGTCTCTCTTTTGCACTTTGATGTCATGATGGAGATTGAGATGTTTAGCAACTTTGAGGCAGTGATACTGATGGTATGTTGAAAGAATATCAAACTTCTCTATCCGCATCGTTCTTCGTGGGGGATTGTTTGCAAGGTATTATTGTAGCGGCATTCCTACCTGACGCTTGTGAAGCGTCTGCTGGTGGAGGAGAGGCAAATGAAAAGCACGCCATGGACTTTCTGGAAGCATCTCAAAACCCTCCAGGTAGCTCCTCTGCTCCCCTGCTCGTCACTGATCGTCCCCTGCCTTAGTCTGCAATGCTTCCAGCGTGCTAGTCGCTCGCGTCCCAAGGTGGAGTGGCATTTGACGTTTGAATCTGATTATGTATGAAAGTTTGAGCTCCCTGGGAAAAGAGTGGGATGCAGCTGGAAGAGACGGGATCATTGCAGGTAGGCGCCGGGCTGCTCTCACTGTTCTCATCTTGCTGATTTTGTTTTCTTTCCTCTCGTTCTTCTCCCATCCCTCTCCTCATCTTCCTCGCCTTCCTCGCCATCTTCTGTGCAGGCCTCTTGTCGATTGCCGTCTCGCTCAAGCGAGCTCTCGTGCTTGCAGATCCAGGGGAAAGGGGGGCAGACGACAACGAGCGAATGCGCTATGCAAGAGAGGCTCTGTTGGGCTCTGAGCGTACAGGCAGCAGCTGCTCTTTTCTGGATGTGCATGGGGTTAGAAGATGTCTGGTCGCCTCCACTCTGAGACTCTTGTGCAGGTCTTTCACTTTGAGCGGATGTGCAGCGAGCATGGCGATTGTCCGTCGGGCCTGGCAGAGGCGCTCCGACACGTACCGGCAGACTTTGACGACATGGGTTTCGACTGGTGGAAGAAGCAGCTGATAGGATTCATAAGAGCGCACAAGAATCCTCCTTGATGCCCCCTGGCTCTCTAGCCTTACTGTCTGAATGCTGAGCCTGCGCCTTACTAGCAGACTGCCCTGGTGACTTCCAGTCGCAGAGCTTGTCTGCAAGAAGCAGTCGCCGCACCTCCTAAGAGGTCACGAGGTTGTCCACAAACAGTCTCTGAGCTGGATCCAGTCAGGAGCAGGAAGACGAAGCTAGCCTTGAGTGCTTGTCTCTTGTGGAGCAGAAAGCTCATCAATCATGCAAGTTTCGATACTGAGAGCATCATCGTATGTTCGTTTGGGGTAAGGGATGAGGGAAATGCTGGATGGACGAAAGAGGAGCCCGGTAGCCGATGGCACCCGGCTGATGGGGGAACAAGTTAGCTGAGAGCAACTAGCGTCTAGCAAGAGGCTGCGACATGAGACCACGTGCATGGACAAGACACTGAGGTTGTGCTGCTAAGACCCGGTGTCTTTCATCCCTATCTCCGCACTTGTCAGGAGTCTTCAGACAAGCTGCATGGGAAGTGAGACAGGAATGTTCTCTCTCCAGCAAGGCCGAGAGAACGAGAGGGGGCAGAAGAAGCATGCAGACGTTGAGTATTGATATCTTGCGACCTTTCGAGATGCTTGCGAGCACAAATACCAACGAAGAGCTGAAGTGACCAAGATGCTTTCTCTTTCAAGGAGAACAAGTTCGATCCACGGAACTTGTCAGTGTCCCACCTCTGCCATGACTGATTGCACATAGCCCAGAGTCGTCGCTGATTTCTTGTTTAGAAGTTTACTGGCCATAGGTTTTCTATCTCAGCCTCCTTCCCTTCCCTTGTGGTTCACTCATCTTCAATGCGAGATAAAGCGCTGTGACTCTTCTCTGCTCGTTCTTCTCCTGATTTCACTCCTCAAGTCTACTCGACTCTCATACAATGGTGTTCAAATGAAGCTCCGCTCGGTGTTCGCTCCCCCTCCACAGTGCTTGCATCTCCTTCGCTTCCTTGCTTCACTGACGTCTTTTCTCTCTCCTTGTTAAGCGATCGCTTCATTCTCCCTCTTCCACTCACTGACGTCGCCCGTGACTCCATGCATATCATGGTTGCAGCTAATTCAGGCCAACCTGACAGTTGGGATTGGCATCTTATCTTTACCTCCCTCGTCTTGGCGGCACCACTGCTGCAGGTAGTCATTTCTTCGCTGTCTCCCTTCTGCCTGCGTTGAGTGGTAAGGCGGGCTCAGATAATTAGCAGCTTTGCAAATCTGGGGGGAGCTCCCAGCTCGACCACTCTGCTTCTACCGGCACACGAGCTAGGAGAGAGGAGAGAGTGTGTGTGTGAGAGAGAGAGAGTGTGTGTGTGTGAGAGAGAGAGTGTGTGTGTGTGTGTGAGAGAGAGAGAGAGAGAGTGAGTGAGTGAGTGAGAGACAGAGACAGAGACAGAGAGACAGGAAGTGGGTTGCTTCAAAATCTGCAGGCCTTCAAAAATAGATCATGCTCAGACATCTCCTGCCCTCGACTTTTCTTTTGTGTATCTTGGTCGCACAGAACGTGAGTCAAGCAAGAGGATACACCGCAGTGACATGCGGCGGATGCACCTTCACAGTATCCGATGCTGGTGTGCTCACAAGGGAGGGCAGCTGCTTCTCAGATTGCAGCACGCTCAATCTTGCGGCCAAAGGCATCCGAACCTTGACTCCGGGTGTTTTCGCGGACCTTGAAGGCCTGACGAGCCTGGGAATCGATCACAATCAGATCACGACGCTTCCTCCTGGCATTTTCGATGGTCTCTCAAACGTCACGCTCCAGGGGCTGGCTCTAGAGGTGAATGAGTTTGACAGCGTACCAGCTGGACTCTTCGATCACTTGCAGGGCATGAGCTACCTCACCTTGTTCGACACCTACCTCTCCCAGCTGCCTCCAGGAATCTTCGACAAGCTGCTGAGTCTCCAGGGAATCGACTTGCACGGCAACCGTCTCACCTCCCTCCCTGAGGGAATCTTTGAGAAACTTTGCAGCTTGAACTGGCTGAGTCTACACAGCAATCAGTTGTCAAGTCTACCTGAGAGAATGCTGTGCCGTAACTCAAGCTTCACTCATCTGACTTTGTACGGAAACGAGCTGACGGCGTTGAAGAACAAAACTTTCACCAATATGGCTAGTCTTCAGTATCTTTACCTCCATGGCAACAAAATCGCGGAGATTGCAGACGGTGAGTTTGCAGGGTTGTCGTCGGTGGTGGAGCTCAGGCTAGAGAACAATCTGTTGTCCTCCGTATCGAACAACATGCTGAAAGGCCTTGAGAACTTGCAGTTCTTGTATCTCTTCGACAACAAGATCTCGACCATCCCCATTAACACTTTCAGCGCTCTCACTGGTCTACAGGAGCTTTGGTTGTCCTACAACGAGCTGGAAGAGCTCCCGCTAGGCTTGTTTGACTCGCTCGCAAATCTGCAGGGCTTGTACTTGCATATCAATCAGATCGGAGAGGTTCAGGCTGGTTTGTTCCAGCAGCTCTCTAGCCTGACGCATCTCACGTTGCACTCCAACAAGCTGTCGAGCATACAGGGCAACACTTTCTCGGGGTTGGTGAGCTTGGAGTATCTCGAGCTGGAAGACAATGAGCTCAGCTGCGTGTCAAGCGACGCCTTCGACGGGCTCATGACAGCACGCGAGATCGACGTGCGAATGAACTTTCAATATTCTTCCCACCTCTGCTATCAACCGTCATGGCCGCCGTCAGTCTTGTACGATGTGGGTTCACCGCAGTGCTCTAACACATCTGCAACGTGTCTTGGAGTCAAACCGGTGGCTAGCTCGAGCAGTTACTTGATAGAGGGGCAGCAAGAGACTCTCAATATCTCTTTCCTTCCGCCTGTTGCAGTTCATGACATCCCGGGAACCAGCTTTCAGTATGCTCGCTTCACTGACCCAATGTCCAATACCTTGTCAACTTCTCTGTTGACGCTTTCTGTGACATCCTGATTGTAGCTGGAGGTGGAGCTGGAGGCAAGCTGTGTCCATCTTGTTACGGCAACAGAGGAGGAGGCGGCGGCGGTGGAGGAGGCCTGATCTACCGGAAGAGAGAGTTGGTACGGGCAGGAACCAAGATCGTCCGCGTTGGAGCAGGGGGCTTGCATGCTGATGGAACTGGTAACGATGGTCAGAACTCTCAGTTCGACAACCTCGTGGCTTTTGGAGGAGGAGGAGGAGGATGGGCTGGGCCAAATGATGCCTACACTACAGGAAGAAGTGGTGGATCAGGAGGTGGAGGAGGCGACTACCTTGGATTGGGAGGTGCTCCCATGCAAGGGCAAGGGCATCGAGGAGGAAGCTCATATGCGCCTTCCAATTGGTGGGGTGCCACAGGAGGAGGAGGAGGAGGAGGAGGAGGGCCAGGGGTTACAGGGACATGGAAGAACTTGGGTGGCCTAGGTGGACCAGGCAGGGCGTTCAGCATTACAGAGCAAGTGGTGAGGTACGCAGCAGGAGGAGAAGGCGACGGAGTCGATCACTACCCTTGGAAGTTTTACATGACGACTCCGCGATCTCCTGCCGCCAGCAACACGGGCAATGGAGGACATGGAAACGTTGTTGGCGATGCTGGCGATGGAGGGTCGGGGGTGGTGGTGCTCCGCTTTCTGAACCCGCAAGTCACTCGGCAATGCTTCTTGAACCAGACCTGGACAACCATCATCCGATCGCTCTCACGACGTGGAGGAAAGAAAACCTTCGTCACAGGTCTCATGCTCATGCTCATGCTCATGCTCATGCTGTTTGCGCAGGTGGTCTCGGTAGACTCATAGTGACGGGGATCGAGGAGGTTTGGGTCTGTCAGTACGACCATCCCTGTGTGGAGCTTGTCAGTGTCAAAAAGAAGTTGCAGGTTAGTTGACAACTGTTGAAACTTGACTCTGCTCTCAGTCACTCGACCTCACCGGCACTTCAGGACCCACAGTCATCAGACGCCTTCTGCTTCATCTACAACGAGATCACGTCTGCTCTCTTCCCCTGCCGCTCTGCTGATTCATGCTTCTCACTATACATGGCAGGAAGGAATTTCATCCCTGGGGTCTGAAATCCCAGCTGGGAATTTGACAGATTGTGGCCCGGTCACTCACTCTGCGGCCGCAGTACCAGGCCGCGCCCGTCCTAGTGTCGTTGCGCTCCCAGTAAGTTAGTACACGGTCAGGGTACTGAATTGAATCATTGATACCGTAGTACTGGGCCGTACCGTAGTACCGTAGTAACTAGTAACGAGTCCGTTTGCCGCGACTTCCGAAGGGCCCCGCGACCGTCCGACGAACTCGTCGTGCGCCCCGGCGGTCACTGACTCTCACCGGACGGCATCATGGCACTCAGGCTGCCCGGCAGTGCCAGGCGCGGCCGGGCCGCGGGGCCGCCCGGCCGGGCCCCCGGGCGGCGGGCCCGGCCGGCCGCGGAGGGCTTGAAGTTTGTTTCGATTTGAATCGATTCCTGGCAACGGAGGGGGAGGCGCAACTGAGTCGATGAGGATTGCAACATGGTGTTGAGCTCGGAACAAGTCGGGGAGGGGGAGGGAGGGGGAGCAGAGGAAGAGAAGAAGAAGATCTACTGAGATCATGCACGCAGAACATGTCCTGCCGCATCTCTTGTAGGATAAGAAGAATCGGTCGCATGGAAGGATAGGTTGAGAGCAAACTGGAGGAGAGCAGCTCGGGGAGTGGAAATTGTCGGAAGAAGGAGAAACATGTTAGAGGATTTGATGCCCTGCAGACGAATAAGAAGGATGATAATGTTTCTGCAACATAATCTTGGTAGGAGAACTATGGCAGAACTACAGAATGACAAAAGGGTGTAAGGAAATGGTCAAAGAGGACCATTCGAGATTGGTGTGTTTATTGTAGATTCTTCTTCTGGATGTCAGGACAGGACGCAACAGAAAGGGATTAATTGATTACTGCTTATTCAAACCAGTGATTGACGATATGCTTCCTCTCAAGTTTACTTTTCCGTCAAGATTTCTGACTCCCTTGTCAAGATGTTTTTGTTACGATGGAAGCCAGCCATCAAGATTGGTTATAGTACAATACGTGCATTCTCGAGCGAAAACAGCTCGAACTTCAGTGCTGGATCGGGCATGTGGGAAATCCCGAAGAACAAGGCGAACTATGTCCCGGTAAGGAACCGAATCCTCTTGCGCAAGGCGGTTTGACGCGAGTGATTAGCTCACTCCACTTTCTTTCCTTCGACGTGTTGAGCGAGTCTATCCCTCATATGAGAGCGTGATCCATGGGTCCAAGACCTTCACGTGGAAAGAGACAGCAGAGCGATGCCGGAGACTGGCTTCAGCCCTTAGAAGGAGAGGAGTCGAGCCGGTAAAACTCTGGCTGCCTTCTGTCCCCTGAAAACTTTCTGACGGGATTCTGTGCTTGATGATTCAGGGTGACACTGTCTCTGTGATTGCCACCAACACACCTGAGATGAAGGAATGCCATTTCGGTGTGCCCATGACAGGCAAGGACGAAAGTTGAGGCAGCAGGGAATGAAAGCTGTTTCAGGAGCTGTGTTGAACTGCATCAACACAAGGTTGGATCCTGCAGCGATTGCTTTCATCCTCGACCATTCCGAGACAAGTTTCCTCATCACTGATACTGAGTTTGCCCCGAACGTGAAGGCAGCGTTGGAGGTATCGAGCTTACGTGACTTGAAGCCGTTGCTAACAAGTTTTGTTTCTCCAGATGATCAAGAGGAAGATCTCGGTGATCGACATCTGTGATTCGGAAGCGCCAAACTTCAACGTTCCCGCCAATCGTCTGAGCGACGTGAGTTGGAGGGAAGGAGGTCAGAGTCCTTGTGACGCGTTTTCCACAGACGGACTACGAGAAGTTGCTGACAGAGGGCTCGCCGGACGGGAACATCGACGGGCCTCTCGACGAGTGGGATGCCATTGCGCTTGGATACACTTCAGGAACAACAGGCGACCCTAAGGTCTAGTGATGGATTGAGATAGGGAGGGAAGAGGAGGAGAGGAGGATGTGTAGAAGCCGTAGTGGTGGGAGGCGAGACTGAATGCTTCATACTGCAGGGCGTGGTGACACATCACAGGGGAGCATACCTCAACTCTCTCAGCAACATCATCGTGTGGGATATGGGACATCATTCCCGATACCTGTGGACTCTTCCCATGTTTCATTGCAACGGCTGGTGCGTCTTTACCTACTAGGGCTAGGGTTCTTATCGCTACGACAGGTGCTTTCCTTGGACTCTCGCAGCAGTCGGGGGGACGTCGGTGTGCCTGAGAAAGGTGTGTAAGTGGATCTCCAGACCACCTCCTCCTCATCTTTCCCCCATAAGCTCCCCTCAATTAAACCCGCTCCTTGTCATTTCTTGGATGCTCATCGCCCTGCCCCCCTCGTCACTCTCATTCTTCTTTTCTGTCTTTAATTTTCTTCTTACCCGCGATCCTCCTTCCGCATGTTTCCTGCCACTTTCTACATGCTCCATGTTTCTCTACCCCTCCGTCACATTTTGTACACAAGACTCTCCCTCCAGTTGTTACCAGGCACCTCTTGATTCACCTTTCACAGGTCACAGCCGAGAACATCTACAACTCTATCGCTGACCATGGAGTCGATCGTCTCTGTGGCGCCCCGATAGGTACTCGACATTGCGATGCACTTGCTCTCACTGCCATCTGCAGTTCTGAACACGATCATCAACGCTCCTCCTGAAAGTCGTCGTTCCTTCAAGCATCAGGTGAGACTGGGATGAGTCAGCGATCCTCCTCCTAGGTTGATTTTGTGGTAGGTCAAGGTGATGACAGCTGCAGCTCCTCCTCCTCCGTCCACCCTGCAGGTACGAGAGGTCATGCGTGAGAGAGAGAGATCGTGACCCAGAGGCAGAGAATGCAGCAGCAAGGGTTCGAAGTCACTCACGTTTACGGGCTGACGGAAACATACGGTGAGTTGAGGAACATGTACAAGAGGGAAAGGAACCTTTAAAGACGAGGAAAAGGCATTTTGGAGAGGAGATGCAAAGGATGAAAAATGGACGAGGGGGACAGGGAACGGGCCACACAGCAGAGTGACAAGACAAGTTAGAGGAGGAGAAGAGACACAATTCTGCAAATTGATCTTGACTGACGACCATTCTGGAGGTCCTGCTGTCATTTGCTCATGGAAAGGAGAGTGGGATGCGCTTCCCTTGGAGCAGCAGGCGAAGGTTTCGAACCCTCTTGCTTGGTTCTCCCTCTGATGATCGACAAGATGCGATCGAGACAAGGAGTTAATTACCATGTATTGGAAGACCTTGAGGTGATGGAGAATCAGATGATGATTGAGACTCAGATGATGATGATGATTGAGACTCAGATGATGATGATGATGATGATGATGATGATGATGATGATGATGATGATGATGATTGAGACTCAGATGATGATGATGATTGAGACTCAGATGATGATGATGATGATGATGATGATGATGATGATGATGATGATGATGAGGAGGAGGAGGAGGAGGAGGAAGACAAGGACGAGATGGAGGCGAGGAGGCGATGAAAGTAGAGGGAGATTTCATGTATTCACATTTCATCAAGGTTCTGGATCCCGAGACTTTGCAACCTGTTCCTGCCGATGGACAAACTCTTGGAGAAGTTATGTTTCGGTAAGACAGAAAATGCAGGGGAGTTTCCTAAAGCTGTTACAGCGGAAACGTCGTGATGAAGGGATATCTTAAGAACCCCGCCACAACCAGCAAGGTTCTTTTCTCCCTTGATTGTCGTTTCCTTTCCCTCTGCTGCTCCTTCAGTTTCTTCTCCTGCCTCCTCCAACATCTCTGCTTCTTTCTCGTTCCATTTTGCCCTATCTCCTACAACCAATCAATGACGAATTTTCTGATCTCACTACTACACCCCGTCCTCACCCTTTCGCACTTGATCGCCCATCTACGTTTTCAGGATCTAAGAGGAGGATGGTTCCACTCCGGGGACCTTGCAGTGATGCACTCGGACGGCTACATCGAGCTCAAGGTCTGAGCTCGGGCCGTGCGTGTCCAGCGACTGACTGAGGGGCAGGATCGCTCCAAAGATGTGATCATATCAGGAGGGGAGAACATTTCTTCCATCGAAGTTGAAGGTAGTCAAGGGCTCGCATCTTCTCTGGCGTCGTCCTTGACGCTCACTCTCTTCCTTGCAGGCATAATGACGTCTCATCCTGCTGTAGAGATGGTGGCGGTGGTCGCGAGGTACCTCTTGCTTGCTCGTCTCTTGCCTAACCTCCTGACGCAGACCCGACGAGAAGTGGGGCGAGACACCATGCGCGTTCGTGGAGCTGAAGGTGAAGGACAAAGCTCTGCCTTGTTCTGCTTTTCTCCTCTCCTCTGCTCACTACAGTTCTCAGAAAGGATACGATGCCTCGGTTGAGGAGGATTTGAAGAATTTCTGTCGTGAAGTAACTCACTTTTCTAATGATAAGTCTTGGTCTAATTATGAGCAGCACATGGCACATTTCAAGGTCCCCAAGACTTTCGTCTTCCAGGTTGTTTTCTTCAATCACTTGATCCTTCGCCTCACTTTCTACAGGAATTGCCGAAAACGTCCACGGGGAAGCTTCAGAAGTTTAAGCTCCGGGAACTCGCGAAGAACCTATAGAGAAGCAGGAGCAAAAGAAGGAGGAGGAGCCAGAGAAGGAGGCGGCAAATGGTGGCCAAACATCTCTCTTGCAATTTCCTTCCTCAGGATCTCTGGTGCCTCTTGTTTTGTTTTTTGAACTTCAGCACATTTACAAAGATTGTATACACATGTTGACACTGGGCTTGTCTACCTCTCAACGATTCTGAATCTCGCTCGTCCTCTCACACTGTGTTGACATTGTCTGCCCCAATGAGAAAAGTTTCGCTCGGCCGTGTCGCATACAAGCCTCATCCTGCTTTCGAGGAAAGCACATTTCTAAACAGTTCACATGAAGTATCACCTACACATCAGTTGTCATTACACAGTCTTCCACCTTTTACCCAGTCTTTTGCTCAGTTTCTAGATCTGAAATGCCTACTTATGGTGATTGTCCGTTGTCGCTTGCTCTTTGCTGACTCAACATCTCACAATTCTTTGTCTTTCTCAATTATGTTGCTTCCATGAATATCTTAGAAGTCAAGGTAGACCTGCTCCCTGCTCAGATTCAGCTAATCATATCCCTTTCTACGTCTTCCACTTGTAGTAATGATGATGTTTCAGCAGGACTTCAGAGATTGATCCTAATGATCGTATTCATCTGCCAAACATCTTTCTCTCTGTTGTCTTAACACGACTCTTGCTTGATGTTTCCTTTCCATGCAACCATCGCAACCAGCGACACTCCTGGCCCCCATTTCCATACTCCACAACTTCATCGTGGTATACCCCTCTCCCCTCCACTTCACCCCTTTGCAGACCCTCAAGGACCCTCCTCGTGACCAGGCATGGTGCGTACGGTACTACCCCGACCCCCTCCCAAGTCAGGGACTGGTTGCTATATAAAGGCTTTGGGGCGAGAGTGAAGCAGACCCGCCTCGAGGTGGTGGGGCTTTCGTGGGAAAGTTGGTTAATCCGTGTGCCTGACACGCACAAGATCCCCAGTTCGAACCTGGGCGAAAGCACGAGGATAACTTTTTGGAAAGAAACGCGTGCTGGTCGGCCAAATCATACTAGTAACTGAAAAGCCTCCTAGACTAACTCTCCTGATTGTCCTCGGCGTACTGCTTTTTAACTCAGTGAACTTTGTGTAAAACTGAAAACGGTATCTATTAAACTGAGATCGAAGGGCCGTTATCATAGTATGCCATCAGCTTTTTTACCGCACTGCGCGGCAAGCGCTGAGCCTCGGCCCTGCCAGCCCGCGGCCGCCGCCCGGCCGGCCCCCGCCCCGGGGAGCCCGGCCCCGGCCCGGCGGGCTGCCGCAGGGGAGACTCCGGCTCAGAGCTTCAAGTTGGAGAGTCCGACTCATGTGAAACTCAAGCATCCACATCATCGGAGAAAACCTTAGTAAGGAACTTCAAACGGGCCGGGCCGGACGTTGACAGTGACTCTGAACTGCCAGGCTGAGGTCACCTCCTCTTCGTCTCTGCACTGACTCATTGACATTGCCGCCTTGAAAACACGTAACTGACTTAGTAAGTCGTCTTCACCGGCGGCCGGGCCGGGCGGCGCCAGTTGCCGTGAAAGTTTACACGGTCACTACAGGAGCCTGGCAGTTTTTGTTAAGGCTCGGCGCTATCTGACCGTAGGCTGGCACGGCTTGACTCGGCGGCTGGCATAGCCGGCCGCCGCCGGGAAGTTCGCCGGGCCCGGCCCCCGACTCGAACTTACACTGGCGGCCGCGGTTCGGCCCGCCGGAGTACGGGCCGCCCCTGGGCCGCCCTGAGCCCGGCCGGGACTCCCCAGTGAGCAGCCCGGGCCCGGGGCCATGGCCCGTGCGTACCGCCGCCGCCCAGTCTAAGTACTAACCCGATCGGACCCCCTCCCAACTAAACGGTCACTGAGCGGGGATCGGACCGTACGGTACCGTACCGTAGGCTGGTTGCGGCAAAATGATCGGACTCATGATGATATGACGGCTTTGGGGCGAGAGTGAAGCAGACCCGCCTCGAGGTGGTGGGGCTTTCGTGGGAAAGTTGGTTAATCCGTGTGCCTGACACGCACAAGATCCCCAGTTCGAACCTGGGCGAAAGCACGAGAATAACTTTTTTCGCGATTGAGGACAGCAAAAGCGCCTGGGAACAATTGATTTTAGAGGTAGTACTGGAATTTATTTTTTTGCTTTCTGTTGTACATACAATTTAAAATTGTCATTGTACCAAACTTTCTGAGCCGTGCATGCTGTAGTTTCTTGATCCTCCAGTGCTGTACAAGTGCAACAAGCATGCAGGCGGACAGGTCCGATGAGAGTTTTCATTCTGTCGCGTGTGGGAGGTATAAAGGGGGTGGACCTTAGAAGTGATGATAAGGGAAGGAGCAGAGGAGGAAAGCGATAAGGAAGTTATCGAAACAGGGAGAGTTACCACAAGTGAAAAGAGAGTGAACTTTGAAAAACGAGTGAATCGGATCATCACAAAAGTTTTCTGTCAAAAAGTGGATCGGTATCTGTACAGCTTCTAATGTAATAGGACCACTTTAGTCACAAAGTTTTGAGCAAGGATATGGCTTCATTTTTGATAGGTAACACTCTTTGCAGGTGCATGTTCATTTGACATGGCGTGCAAAAGAATTTTCCATAGTCGCCGTGTCATTGAACCCATTTTCTTATTCTCGCTTGGAGTTTTTCTTTGCACAGATGCAAAGCCGGCTGTCATAAAAGCAATACCCACGGTATGAGTTTGGGTGGGAGGAGGGAAAGGTATAGTCATGTGTTCTTGAACTTACTTGCATGCAGACAGCAACTGAAAAATCCTGGTTCCACTCAGTGTCGTCAGCATTTGAGGGTGAGTCATTGGTTTACAACAAGAGAATGAGAAATGAGAACGTCATCGTGTAGGACTGTGGCCTGGACAGCACAATCAAGATGCTCGCATAATCGGAGGAACAAAAGTTGATGGCGCGTATCCATGGTTGGTGGAGTTCCTTCCAAATTCGACCACATTATGGTATCATTGACAGTATTTGGGGATCATGGAGTTACTGTCTCATTGCAGTACGGCTCAGATCGTCTCTGCAACTTGGGCATTATCTGCGGTCCATTGCGTTGTCGATTGGAACACGGGGACGATAATGCCGGCTTCGTCTGCCCGACTCATCGTCGGTGATGAGTCGCTGTTTTGAAAATTCAATGTAAATAACACAACAATAGGCTGCAACAGCAACACACTATCAACGAATTGCAACCGAGTTCAAGTCAAACGGTTTGTTCCTCATCCAGATTTCAATGCAACACTGCTTGAAAATGACATTTTGCTGATCGAGGTCAGTTGATACAGTGCTAGGACTCTTTGAAGAAACGTTACTAAAAATAGCTTCAGGTCTCGGTCGATCTGTCCCCACTGATCAACAACCAGTTCCCAAAGATCGATGGGCTTACAACTCTGCCCGCTGGACTTCTTAGCCCTGGGAATTCCATCATCCTTGCAGGCTTCGGGGTGACAGCAAACATACAGTCGGGAAAGCCACCTGAGATTCCCTTCGCATTGTACGAGGTTCTGTGACACGTACGTGGATCGAGTGTCTGACTGCGCCGCAGGTTTCCGTTCCTATCGCAACAGAGCAAACGTGCAAGAACAGCAATCCCTCTCTTGCAACCTTCGCTTCTCGATGGGTGTGGTTGTGCGTAGATGGAGAAGGGCAGAAGGACAGCTGCGAAGGAGACTCAGGTACGGCCCCTGAATGAAAATCTTTTACAGCGTGCTAAGGGAGAGCAGGTGGCCCAGCCTTTTTCTCTGTCAGCAACTCTGCCTACATCGTTGGAGTGCTCAGCATGGGATCACAGTTACCGTTAAATGCTCCCTTATGCGCGACGCCTGGGCGCTATGGCGTGTACACACAGATCAGTTTCTACTCCGATTTTCTGAAGAGTCACATCTATGTAATGAGTAATTGTTGTCTGCTGTTTATTTTTCTGAACAATGTTGCTTCTCTTCAGGATATTCAATTCCAAGGTACTGTTTCAAAGGGAGACAGGTTAATTTCTTCTTCCTGGCCCATTTTCATTTTCGCAAGTGTTGTTGTCACAACATTACTTCCTTAGATGAATGTAACCTATCTCACCATGTTAGATGTAAGAAAAATATGTATAAGAAGAGATTTCGAGTGATTGTTGGGTTTATATAGTCAAACTTAGTATGAAGTTGGGGAGCTGAGGCTTGCTTGTACTTATCCCCATGTACTCATCCCCATGTACTCATCCCCATCATGGCATAGTACAAGCAAAGCTTCAGCTCCCCAACTTCATATTTCACTATATAAACCCACAGAACCTCACATTCGATATCCCGCCTCGAGGTGGTGGGGCTTTCGTGGGAAAGTTGGTTAATCCGTGTGCCTGACACGCACAAGATCCCCAGTTCGAACCTGGGCGAAAGCACGCGTAAACTTTTTGGCAAGAGGACCAAATCATACTACTATTGAAAGTTCAAAGGGCTGTTATCCGGTGGCATACGGTCATTGACTCAAAGTTAAGATTACTTTTTGAGCTACCCAGTAGTATCTTTTTGTTTTGGTTCAACTAGCCGCCGCGTTTGAGTACGGTACTCAGGACCGTAGTGCCGGGGACCGCATAGCGTTATGGAGGCTGTGTGATCAGCCGCACGCACCCCGGGCGGCCCGGCCGCCCGGCCGGACTGTCCGTCACGGTACCAGACCAGGGCGCGCTGTAGTACTGCCAGCCTTGACCCTGACCGTCGTACACTGAGCGGCGGCGGCGGCGGCGGGCCGGCGCACTGGCCAAACGGCGGCGAGCCTTCCCTGGAAGAGCCTGAACTTCCGAAAACAAGACCGTAGTGGCGCCGCCGGGCCCCGAGAACCCGGCAAACCCCGGGCCTGTACAATCCTGCCGACTCTGCGGCTGTCACCGGGCCCCACCAGGCTTGGCCCGTGACCGGGCCGTACTTGAAAACAACTCACCGGCACACGGCGGAGTCCGACGGCCGGTGCCACGGTGACCGGCGTCCGCCCGGGCCCGGGCCCGGGGGGCCGATGATCCGAGCCCCACGGGCCGGTGGGGCCGTGCCCGGCGGCCACCGTGACGGGCCGCACGGCCGGCCGGGCCCCGGGGTCGCCGGACCGTGACGTCAGTGGCACCCGGCTCAGCCGGGCCAACGTCAGCGCGGGGGGCCTGGCGGCTGGACCGGCAGGAAGCCGCTGAGGGCGAGTTGTAACTGAGTGCCATGCGGCTGAGCCTCGGAGACTTGCGACTCGGCGTCGGCCCGGCCGGTGCGGGCGGCGGGCCGGGCGGCCCCACCGTCAAGACCGGCCCCACAGCCCTAGGCTGAAAGAACTGCGGATCAACGGACTCAGGCTGGTAGCGACGATGCCGCCGCTTGCTGTAGAGCGGCGGGCATTTGAAATGGCAGGATCGGATATAAGCCGTCAACCACAACTCGGACCATCCTAGCATGAGATCGGACAGTGAAGAGCCTGATTGAAGTCGCCGTGTCTTGATCTAGTCCGCCAACTCAGGCTTGATCAGAAAGCATGGTGAACTTGTTGAAGATGCTCCGTTTGGGAGGTTTCAAGTCCTCAGACCTTTACTTTGGCTTCGCCGAGAAAGTGATGGTGAGAACTGAACACTACACCTGATGTCTGTTTTTGAAACTGAAATGAGATGTTCCCATTGAAAGTGCCACGGTGCGCATGCTTATTGCATACCAGTCCGTGACTTATATTATGTCAATGTAATTTCGATCTGCAGGGTCCTGATACTCCGCATGACGAGACGAGGACGAAGTGGATGATTGACAAGAATGGAAGGAAGGTTGAGGCAGTTCCAGAAGACATGGAGACAAAGAGCAGCAGATACGAGGAGCTCATCGAGAGAGATCTCGTCGAGAATCCAGATGTGATGAACTCGGAAGCGATCATCGATAGGTTGAGCTGGGCGAATGTTGTGTGTTACTATGCGGAGCAAGGAGTCTCGAATGCTACACAGTTTGCTCTCAAGCTCTTGCATCAAGAGCCGTCCTTCAAGATCAGAAGGCTGATCGTCAAGAGATTGATGTTCGCGGCTAGACAGCCCGTGACTCCAGAAAAGAAAGCGATCATGGAAGCGACTATATCAGCGATATCCGACGATCACGCTGACGTCCGCGGCCTCGTGATTGAAATGTGCGATAAGAAATGCATTGAACAAGACCGACTCGATGTCGACATGTACCTAGCCGTCTCCAATCGTAACACAGCCTTGCGTTTGCGTGGCCATTGTGCTTCCTCGGACAAGTTCGAGGATTTGTCAGCCTCGGGGCTTGTAGGAAGTGGTGCCTGGCTGACCCTACAAGAGATGGCGATCGCATTCAAGGATGACACCTTCTTGCGGGGGTTGGTTGCAATGCTGTCTCATCAGGTGTTTTCCGTTCGAATCTGCGCGTGGCTGTTTCTCTCCGATTCCAGCTTTGCCTCGGAAATCGAAAGATGCAAAACTCTTGAGATCAAGATAACTCAGTTGAGACGACGGAATAGCAAGCTTCGCAGCAAGAGATCACAAGTAGAGGCTCGTCATGAAAATGCGATTCGTGAATTCATGGAGAATTCCAGGGACAGGATCGCTTCTGAAAGACTGAAGCTGCAAGGACGTCTGAATGATGACTTGTTGGCTCAAAAAACACAGGAAATCATTGAGAAAATTAGAAGCTTTGGGATGAAAAATGATGAAATGATTATTTCAATCGGCAGAGAACTACAAAGAGCCAAAAAAAAGGAAAAGTCTACCAGCAATGATCTCTCCATGTATCTAGAATCATATCAACAATGCGTAAGCTCGCTCAAAGAAATGATCATTTCAAAAGTTGGTACGATGCTAAGTTACAACTCGTCGTATTATTTGAGCTTGAATTCCTTCTTTGAGAACAAAGGAAGGGAAAATTGGTATATTAGGAAGTCTGCTCTGGAATTTCTGGGCGAGATTGCAAAGGCCGGGTACGACTCAGCAAAGGAATTTCTCTCTTCTTCTGAGAACGACAGGAGCCCGTACGTGCGACGAGCTTACAGGAATGTGGTGCAAGAGGTCTTGGCCTTGAAGATTCACAGCAATCAAAGTCAAAGCCAAGTCATTTCGCCCGAGAAGGAGAGCAATGCTGCTGATATCTGTGCTACCCCCGAAGATCAACGAAAGTTCAACAAAGCACTGAGACTACGAAGGGAAAGAATGGGAGAAGAACAACTGATTCGCAGTGTGAATGTTTTAGGTAATGTTTGCATGTTCTGCTTTCTGAACGCATGTTTGGATATAGAGTTGACGGATCTTGTTTCCTGCAGAATTCTCGTGCCGAGAGGTTTGCAAATTTCTAGAAGAACTGCGACCAAGATTTTTGGAGCAAACAGATCGGTATATTCGACAAGCAAAGCGCAATGAGGTTGATGGTGAACAGCTTATAGACATGTCCGAAAAAGACATGCGCGAAGTTCTTGGGATTACAATGCGCAAGCATAGAGCGATTCTCAAGCTGAAGATCAAAGAGAAGATAGATTACTTGAAGTTCTACACTGACCCGCAGCAGATGGAAACAGCCAACAAGGAGCTGCTTCAGGAATCAGCCAAGAAGTACTTCAGGATCATGAAAGTTGATAGGAACTCAGAGTCAAAAGACGAGGTTGTCAAGACTTTATCGTTCGATGTTCCCCAAATGCATAGCGACGAAGCTCGTTGTTCTGCCATTCTTGTCAAGCGAGCAGACGGACAATTTGTTTTCACACAAGTTTCTTGCGTCTCATCAGGGGTGAAGGAGGGAGACATCTTGTTGAAGATACAAGACACCAACATCCATGGGTTGACCTGGGACAAGGTTGCTGACCTCTTCCTAGCCCACGGTCAGATCTGCATGTGTACCATACTCATCAGCAGCGAGTCAGCTGACCCTCGAGGCTCGTCGGGCCCTCCTGACAATTCTGGAGACGAGCATGCTCGCATCAGGACCCTGCAAGTCATCAGCCACTGTGACTCCCGGCATCACTGCCGCGAGCAAGTCCAGGGCCTCGGGCTAAACGTGGAGCTGATGAGCTTCGATGACTTCCAGCTGCTGCAGCTGATCAACTGGTTCTCTCGGCACAAGTTCTCCAAGTACCTTGCAAGAGTCCTGAGCGAGAGCAGCATGAATGACCTCAGACACCTCGCCATGCGTCACAACGACAGCCAATGGCTGCAGAGCCTTGAGATGGATTCCCAGGACCTGACTGCCTTCCAAGAGGCCATGGTGCAGCTCGCGACCAAGTTCGGAATCATCAAGGAGGAGAAGCTTCTCGAGGGCGAGAGGCGGTTGGACTTTGGTTTTGACTGGGTCTTGTTGCACGGCAGCACAGCTCCCTATGTCTCGCGTCACTCCTCGCGATTTCGCAGTCAGGACGCGAGTGAGAGTTTGAGTCAATTCAAGACGACAGGGAGGGACGCGGTGGTGGTGGAGAGGAGCCTGGAGGGGCTGGAGTACTCGCTCCTGTGGCATCGGTCGATGAATGTTGGAGTCGAGCTCATGCATACGAGCACCGGCATGTTCCGGTTGCACGTGCCGTCCTCAAGCAAGACTGCTCCGACCGCTGCCAACCCAGTCAAAGTCTTCCTCGTCTACTCGGATGGCAGTGTGGAGCCAACGAGAAGTCTGAATGCGATTCAACTCTGGGGAGAAATCTGGAAGCAAGAGCCTGTTGAATACACAGAAGAAGAGCACGCGGTTGAGGAGGAAGAGCAGGGTAAAAATCCAAGTGATGAGGAATCGGAATCGGCATCAGAAGTCTCCGTTCATCAAGACAACATCCTTGGTCTCAATTTTGGGTCTTCAACACCGAGGAGCCCTGGGAACAAGTCACAAGGGCAGGAAAAGCGCCACGAAAGCTCTGAGATGGATTCCGAAGTTGATTCAGACGGAGAAGACGATGTGGTGGGCTACCATGTGTTCCCCTCAGTGGGGATGAGAGTGGGGCTCAGGTCTGTGATCGCCTCCAAGTATCCTCACCTCTTAGAGGAGACAGGGGGGTCTCTGGGCAGAATCTCTTGGGTTGACCCCACAGATCTTGACGGCGACGGGGTGACGGGTGACATTTGTGAGGTCACGTGGGACAACGGGTACATGGGCGACTACCGCACGGGGTTTGAAGGACACTTCAGGTTGAGGGAGGTGAGAGAAGAAAGGCATGCCCAGGAGCGAGTCAGGGTCAAGACAGTGATAGGGAGAGATGTCGACCCTCATCGAGGTCAGCGAGTCACCGTGTCGGCCTCTTCTGCGCGCGACGAGCCTGCTGTGAAGAGCGGGACCATTGTCGATGTCAAGGAACTGGGTGACCCGTCCAAGAAGAGCAAGCTGTTGCGAGCTTCATGCAAAGTTCTCTTCGACAACGGAGAGGAGAGAGACATTGTGATCGGAGGAGACCTGGAGATGTGTCCGGAGGATAGGGGGCAAGAGAGCTTTGAGGCTGCTGCTCGACCGCTCCATCTCCGAACCATCGACGAGGACAGAGAGGTAAACTTGCACGTGCGAAGAGCCTTGAAAAATGCTAACGAGGATGCGCAGAGGGAAAGTGAGGAGCCATGGGATGTGCTTCAACCTCCTGCCGATGATGTTCAGTCTCACAAGTCTCAGACACACACCATGGACTTGGGCGCTCTGCAGCCGATGGTGTCGTATCACTTCCCGTCGCATGCGCAGCAGACGAACTTGGTGATGGGGCACTGGGAAGGACGCGCCTGTTTCCGTCTGCACCCTCACCTTGTGGTGCAGCACTGCCGGGGGAAAGGCAACCTGATGGAGCGGCGAGCAGCTGTCCGCACCTCGATGATGTTGACACAGCGAGGCATCTACTTGTTTGCGTTCGAGGTGAAGCAGGGAGGAGAGAAAGTCATTCAGAAAGCACTTCAGTTCAATGCCAGCGGAATGAGCGAGCTGAACGAGGAGAGAGCAAGGAGATTGACGAGCGAAAACGAAGAAGAGGTAGCTCGTGAACTACAGCGAATCGACCTGGAGCAAGCCCAGACCAGCGCAGCAACTTGACATGACTGTCAGGACACGTTACAAGGCCGGAGCCAAAGACCTTCACCGCACAGGTAGAAGCAGGCTCCCTGCTGCTCCTCGGGATCTTTATCTCAGGACGAAGGATTCTTGTGCAGGAGCTGAAAGAGCCGGAGGATGCGAGATTTGACCTCCCATAGGAGCTCGTCCTTGAGCGAGCGATTCTCCCAGTAACTGCATTGGGATGAGATGCGGAGGAGGGAGGACAATCTCCTCCACCTGCTGCCGTAGTCCGTCAGAAGCTCCTGGTCGGGCTCAATGTCGCAGAGAGTGACGAGGATGAGATGGGGCTGGCCGTAGATCAGCATCTCACCTGCTCATGGTGATGAGCAGTCGAATGAGGGAGGCTGAGCTCAACAGAATTCAACATTAGCCGCAAAGAAAGAATTCCTGTAGTCGTTGACATATTTCACCTGATAGTGACAAGTCGTCAAATCAATATATCAAGAGAAATTGAACCGCACTTCATTCCCAGACCAGAGATCAGCAACGATGGTTTCATGGTCTTCAAAGCAGATGCCTTCTAACCCTCTCTTGGGTTTCGTTCTGAACTCATATGCGTACCTTCACGTCTACATGAGCTTTCGATCCTTCCCTCGCTCTTTCACTGAACCTTTCTGAGAGTTCCATTTGAAACAAACCAGCGCGAGTCGTGTAGAAATCTTCTTCCTTGTAAACCTGTTTGTCTGGTCACCCTCGTTCTAGAGCGCAACGGCTACGCACTGGGCAAGAGACAGGAAAGATGGTCAGACGTGGGATAAGCTTCTTTGCAAATAAACCCTGATTGTGCTTTGATTAGAAGCTATCATGGCGCGTTCTCAGTGCAAGGGTTGGTCACACAATGATAGAATCTGAGGTTTTCCTCCCACCAATCACTGTCTACAAACACTCACATGTTGTCCAATCAGTCCTTCGCGGGGATCTCCGTGTACAATCTGCGCCAACTCATCAAAGAAGTAGGCTGCCACAGAAAGCATCACCAGTCTGACGTCTGTAAACTCATGAAGTTTGTCATCGAAAAGCTCTGGAGGGAGGCGAACAAGTAATTGACACTGGCTTGTCATGAGTTGGGCATCAGCCTCCTCTTCGCATGAATGCTTACACGAATTTTCACTTCCTTCCTCTGGATTCATCCAGTTTAACAGACCATTCTCCAGGCCCGAAAACAACTTGATCGATTCGTACTCTTCATCTCGTTGGTCAAAATTCTCAGCTGAGACCAACCCGGAGACAAAGTCCACGCCGTCAGCTTTTGCTTTGACTAGATGCCAAAGACTCCTCCTGCTGGTCATCCTCGAACAACTTGTCTCCTCCCCCTCATCATCTTCTTCCAAAACCTTCCGAGATCTCTGATAAAATCTGCTCCAAAGCTGCTCGCTTAACGATTGAGCCACCTCCCAGTCGGCGGCGGTTCGACCAGCTAAGCTGGCATCGATTTCAGAGCGCGTGCTCCATCTATCTTGGATGAAGCGACAAAGAAGCTCGATCTCGTGGGTCGTGGCTGAGCTGTACGTGAGTGTACCTTCATCCTCGTTCTCTTGCGCCGTCAGGCGTCGAGCGTCGTGAGCTACCTGACTCAACTTCTAGCCTCTAGTCACAATTTACATGTTTCACAGCAACAAAATTACCTGCCCCTCCGTTGAGTTGACCGCCACGAGGAGGAGCGAGATGGCAGAGACAAGAGATTCTTTGCTCACTTGCCGGATATCCAAAGCTCTATCACAGCATATCTGTAACAAGGCCCTCAAGGCGCTTGGATCGCTCTGTTGGCCATATCGATACAGCTTCTCCAGTGACCAGATGACAGCCTAACATCAAACACCACTATGATCACTATCGATCGGAATTTCACGGCACAACTTCGCACCTCAATCAAACTCGGATTGCTCTGATCCATGAGCAGCTCACGGCAGACTCTCTCGACAGCACATTCGTCCCCTTGTTCGGAGAAAATTGCGATAGCGCATACCAACAATGGAAGTTCATCCATTGAGTCAGCGCTGTACCGGAGAAGCCATTCACGGGCAGCAGGGACGGTCCCCTGCGTTTCTCCTGCTTCTGCAAGCAATTTCCATTTCACTTGTGTGTCACCATGTGATTGAAAGAGAGACTCGAGGTCTTGCCAGCATTTCTCTTTGGACGCCAAGCACTGAGTGGGCATATTTGGCTCTTTTCCCCTCACAAGCTGCTTGCATTACATTCAAGACAACCTGATATGAAGTATCTTGTGCTCTACTTTCCTGGTCTCATTGTCCACCTGATCTCCTTGCTCCGCCACCTCCTGTATCAGATCCATGGCGACAAACTGGTTTCCCAATCGAAGTTTCGTAGGATGCATTGTAACGGACGGATCTGTAACGGAATAACCTGGATATCTCTCGTATTTTTGTGTCTCGTATTTGAAAATATTTTACAAAGTTTCAAAAAAGAAGACATAAATTGAATCCGTTAAAGAATCGCTGGTTGCAACCACCCTACCCAAGACCTGCTCTCCTTGCGCATGCCTGGAAACAACAGGGGTAGTCGACCAGGGTTCTGCAGGGGTAGTAGATTGTCGAGGTGAGGTTGGCAATCATGCAGGTAGTCCATTGTTGCGGTTTTTGGAAACAATGGGGGGGGGTGGGTTGTTGTCTTTTGCAAGGATAGTGCACAACTAGGGTGGGTGACATGTTTGAAAAGTAGGGTAAGCTAAGGTAGGGTAAGCTGAGGTAAGCTAGGGTAGGGTATAGTACCTGGGTAGGGTAGGGTAGGGTAGGGTAGGTGTCCCCGGTGGGAGGGGTGACTTCATGCTGCTGCTCCAGCGGCAGAGGACGATCAAGGGAGAAGGGCATTCATATCGAAGACAGTCACCGAACGCGAGGAAATGATGGCGATTGGAAGAACATGACTAAGAGAATTTGGGAAAGAGGAAAAAACAGAGCCATCTGTAGATTTGAAGGTAGAGAGCTGACGTAGAGCTATCTAACCTCCCTTAGCACCACATGGGAAAGGGTAAAAGTGCTTGAAAAAGGAGTCTGCAACCTGGAAGCATATGAAAAGGTGGATGTTTTATAATGTTCAGAGGAGCAATCAAGTTTTTCCGTAGATGTCATGGATCTGTGACTGAAAGCTAGCTTTTCTTCAAATACATCAGACAAGTTGAATTTGTTGGAAAGGACTATGATGAATTGTGTACAGCAGTTCTAGTACAGTGTAGGCTGAAGAGATCAATTTTGTCTTGCGTTTTGGAATCTTGTAAGTCAAGTAGATGCCTTGTGATGTATTTGGGATTCATTGCTTTGCTTGCGTTTATATGGAAATGCTTTGTTTTCAATCCAGATAGAGTGTCTGGGAGCGATCGACGTTTCGATTGTTGTTCAGGGTTGTTTCTTTGCCTAATGTTTTTAAAGGTATGAACTAGCAAGGTTTGTTCTTGCTAACTCATATCAGAGATGCGCCCCTTACTGAAGCAATGCCCGTCGTATTTTTCTCCATGATAACCTAAATGCCTTCTGAGGGGCCCAGAGATATCTTGAAAGTGCTGAACGAATAATTTGCCGCTGAAACCAGTTGATTGTATCGAGGAAAGAACAATGCCTGGAAGGAGGATTTTTGTCTGTGAGGGGAAAGGGGTGTAGAGTGCAGCTTTCAAGTTTGAATTGGGCATAACGTCAGTTTCCGCGCTGTTGGCTGAGACTTGAAAGCAGGGGCGACCTGCACGACGATACGCGCAATGTCAGAAGCGAAGGAGTGGACGCCTGACGAATGTTTGAAGCTTACTGCACCATGCGAAGGTGATTCATTCTTGCTTGTTTGTTTCCATTCACTCGTGCAACAGGATATTTGTGCCCGATGAGTGCGAACACTTATGGAATAGAATTCCTTGAATTTCGAATTCGAGAGATGGAAGGGCAGCAACGAGATCTATACCACGTTAAAAAACCCGATGACGCAGTGCGTGTTTTGTGTCCTGCCTTTGTTCTAGCTGACAGTTAAATTAGCCATCGGAGCCTATCACGGACATCCCGCCAGAACAGGAAGACCTCTACCGGCTCATTCAGTATGCATTCCCATCAGAATTTTTGAAGGCAAGGACTATCGGCACGTCTCTCGTCTTTTCTGTCGGAGACAAGGAGGTGAAGAATCACCTTTGTCCCCTCAATGCTTGATTTTTGTCATTCTTTTGCTCAACACCGATTTTTGATTTGATTTTGTTTAGGTTCAGTCGTTCCGAATGATAGAACGACATTACTTTCGTGACAAGCTCCTGAAGTCGTTTGATTTTACTCTTGGATTTTGTATGCCGAATTCTCGCAACACTTGGGAGGTCATCTACACACTTCCGGAGCTCGACGCCGAGACGGAAAAGGCGATGATCGATAACCCATATGAAACGAAATCAGATAGTTTCTACTTTGTCGGAGACAAGATGGTCATGCATAACAAGGCTGAATATGCATACACACAGTAGGGAGGATACGTGTCTTGTATGCATCAGCAACCAGTAAGAAGGAAATAATCTTGACAGAGGTTAGGTAAAAGTGAAGGCGTTGATGTATTGATTGAAAGGATGGATGATGCCGATTTTGAAATTCCTGCATATTATTCTATCCGTTTAGATGGCTTTTATTTTCATTCACTATTTATAAGGTCTTGTCGAGGGTTCCGTGTTTGATTTTTGGGGGGAGGGGAGGGAAGACCAGCTACCTTGATTGAGGTCATGATTGACAATCAAGAAAGAATAACAGGTTCTGATATCATCCTATCAAGAAATGATTTCCTGGATGTTCTTAGGTTCGACTCTGTACATGTTGCAACGCTTCATCAAGCAACCCGGCATCAAAACTTGTATCCCAGCTGTAGTTCTCGTCATGTTCTTCGAGAGACATCACAGTATGCTCGTCTCCAGAGCTCTGCGAGCGCAGTGTCTCATCATCGGCATATTTATCACCCTCGGATGACCGTTCTGACGCTTCTCCAACACTTTGGCGTCGCGAACGGCTAGCACCTTCGCCATCACACTGAATGCCTCTTGCCATACATCTTCTGCACGGTCGTTCGTCGTCGCACTTTGCCTTCGCACCTCGACAACCACTACACGCAACCCTAGTTGGATGTCTGCTTGACGACAGCCATCTCCTCATTTTGTAGAGCGACGACTTGCTTGTTACACCGTAAGAATGTCTGCTTCCTGGATTTCTCTGTAAATTGTCGGTAAGTCCAGTGCTTTGGAGGTCTGCTTTTGACAATTCTTTCCCATCTATAATGTCATCTCCAGGAATATTGGCAGAGCTCATATCCATCATGAAGATCAAAGAGGTGTGTTTCTGAGTTTGATGCACGTTTGCTGCTTCCAATCGTACTACTGTTCCATGCTCACCTATCCCTTTTCGGAACTACAGTTAGCTGACTTTGCAAATACAGCCTACAGATATTACCTTGATGCTGCACTATCGAATGAGATCGAATAGACAGAGTGGCATTGAAAACGTCTGGCAAAAGCGAGTAAGCATTGAGAAAAACGACAACAACCAATTGTCGTGGTTGTAACTGAGATTATCTTACACCTTCCTGAATCAATGCATGATTTAAATCGAGATTCTGATTTGTCCAAAGGGGATTTCTTACAATATTTCTACCGTCCTGCTTGAGGCCCAGCTCACGCTCACAGTCATTCTTGGCGCGCCTGAGCGATTGGACACCATCTAGCATCTAATCCCTCACTTTCCTTTGAAAGAAGTTGCCTCTCATGAAACGCGAATGAAGTTGATAGATGTATGTTGCCATTCAAATGAAAAAGATCGCAATCTTCTTCCCTCCTTGCCTCCTCCTCTGATCTATCCATCGCTGCATAGCTCTTGTTTTTCCCCCTAAGGCGTGCGACCCCCCACCCCTGAGTCGACTATATCACAGACGGCAGCTCACCCCCACCCCATCAAAACCAGTCTCATCACCCACCAAGTGCCCCGCATGTAACACAAGAAGTCAAAACCTCCAGTCGACTTCGACTCCACCCCACCCACGGGATGCCCAACCCCCTCGTACGAATTTACGGCCACAGCTGCATGTCACTGTGATCATGACTACTACCCACCTACTCGAGTTACAACCCCACCTCACTCTATGACACATTTATGATGGTAAAGTACCCCTGCTACAGTCTATGACTTTCACACACTACCCCCCAAACGTAAAGACCTAACTTTCACCTGTCTCGTGATGTCGCCAGATCACATGGGATCCGGTCTTTTCGCCTGTAAGCTCCTTGACTTGTACTCTAAAACTAGTCTTTTGGAGCCTTTCTAGCTAGCCATACAGACCCAAACAATGTGTGTTGAGAAAATAGAATTTCCAGAATAATCTCGGGATAACTTGCGAATGTTCCTCGCAGCAGTAATGCTGAGGCATGTCATAGGAGAAACAGGAAGGAAATGCCGAGATACTGCTCAGACAATAATCTCTCCCTATTCTTTACCCTTTCCTCATCTAGTCTCTTGTCATAAACAGTTTCGCTCACTACCCACAATTCCCCTCACTCTACCCCATTGCCAAATCGCTACTGACTTTCTCTCTGCCTCTCTGCCTGCCTGACTTTTGGAATCATTTTTTCTTGCTCTTTCATAGCGTTAGTATATACCATTTGAATGATTCGTGCCGAATCTCGCTTCCTCTCCTTGCTTTGCCTCATTTTGCAGCAGGCAATATCTTTACTTATCAAGCTTGTGAGAAAGCGAAACTTCTAGGTCATGCTGCAGAGCGAAACTTCTTTCCCTTCTCATCGTCGTTCTCCGCCATTTTCATCCAATCTTGGATCAAGCGTCGCCCTCGCAGCACTTCGTTCTCGTACCAAGTTTTGTCTTCTCTACATTCCGCATACCTGCAAACCGTCATAAGGTGCACCGCAAAGTTCAATATTTTGCCTTGTGCCAAACATGTTGGTGTTCTTGATGAATACATTCTTCAGCCTGAACGTAGCATTCTCGGGGTAGACTTGAGAGATCCAGTCATCCAGATGCCAATTCTTGATGGTCATCGGAAAGTGAGAACTAAATATGTGTTGATGCGTTCGGTGAACAAAGCTGCAAGAAAACTGGTCAGTAGTTCTCGAATGTTGCAAAAGTAAATTACAAACCTCTGGGTAAGAACCAGATTGTTGTTCAGATCCACAGCTCCAACAACCCCGAAGTTTGCTCGAACAAGACTAGTTTGCAAGGTTTCAACGAATGTTTTCGCCCAGGCTCTGGTGACAAATTGCACATCATCGTTGCTTTGGTAAAAATAGTCGCAGCCGTCTTGCCATGCTGCAGCCATCAATGAATTCCATAAAAACGCGATCCCTCCCTGCGTTGTGTCATACGTTTCCGAAAAGCAGGATGATATGACCTTAGATGGAGGCATCCTGTAGAATTTCAAGAAGATTGGTCGGTTGAAGGTCTGATCTTTTGTATGCTGTTCAATCAAACTCCTATTCTTGTCATACAACGGATCTCCCTGATCATACGCAACGTACACCACAAAAATGTAGTTTTCGAACGAAAAGTCATCGCTGATCGAAGCAACTAGCGAAGGCAAGAAGGTGTTGATGAACGGAAGCGCTGATACCTTCGATACACCAGGGGGTGTAATAGTTGGCACGCACAAACAAATCTTGGTTCTTTGATGGTAATGAGAAGGAAAAGAATAGTTCCGATCAGGTGTTGGGACCTAAGATCAAGTCAGCAACACCTTGGCTCCATCAATCTTGTTGACCTTGAATTTCAAACGTAGGTAGCACTTCGCCATGGGCACTCGAGTTCTGTCTCCAGCTGGCCAGACAATAATTCCGACATTTTCTACCTGCCAGCAGTGATCACATGACCTCTATCGCTCCTTTACCAAACACTTCACACTCACAAGTTTAGAAATGTCTTGCTGAGAAGGAATATCAGCGTCCAAGGATACCGAGTATCGGATTGGAGAGGATCGTCTCATGAAGACACAGCCTGCCATGGAGCTGGACGCAGCTCGGGAAAGTTCCACTCCATCAAGCAGCAATACAAAGCAGCTTAACTCCTTCCTTGCAGACCGCAAGAGTGCTACTTGCTGATAGAGAGACTGATTCTCATAATTGACCGAATCTTTTTGACAACTATAAGTGACAATGACAACAAGAACTTTGACGTCGTCTTGCTCTGCGTGACTGTGTTTCGAGCCGAATGGAATGTCAGGACGATGGCGGGAAGAGATACGGCTGTTCATGAAAATTCGAGATAGCTCGAGGGAGGCTTCTGAGCTTCCCACAATCAGCACGGGATTTGTTGGTTTCGGTCGAAGGAGCTCGTTCTCTACACCGCTGCATCTGAATTGTTTTGGCTCCTCACTGTCCCCCCCAAGTCTTGCAGCAAACGTCCAGTCCCTGCATAACCCTCGATCTCTCACCAGGTTCAATGTGCTTTCTTTGTTCTTGACTGGTTGCAAAACTCGAAAAATCCCGCTGGCATGATTCAGCCAGACGCCAATGTCAATGACAACAACTGTAGTAGGAATTTGCCCCTGCTTCATCATAAAGTTCAGCATTGTCATCTTCCACTTCAAGGACTCCTCTGTCCCATGCTCCTCTGCAAAGCAAGCAAGTCTCCTCCTCTCCTCTGCTGCAGACCCCTCTGATGTTAAGCTATGCAATGTTGTTAGGTCCCAAGATTTGATTTCCGAGATGGTGATATCTCTGAGCTCTTCAGGCCTGCAATACAATCTTAAAACACATCGGCCCTATCCAAGAGTAAAGCTTGCCCGTCATGCACAAGATGTAGCCTGACAGATGATTGGCAATGAGATCCGAAAAGCGCATGAATATTTCCAACAAACTCTCGGACACTTGGCATGACATGTAGTATGTAGGAGGCGTCTGTATGGCAGACAGATGCAGCGTCGAAGAGGAAGGCAACAATATCAAGTTCAGAACAATCTGTGAGAAATCAACATTCCATTGATAAACACTGAATTCGCACGAACTTGAAGGAATTGATTGCAAGAGATAATCTTCCTTCCAATGACAGCGCAAACGTTTGAATGGTGAAGGATCGTCATAGTAGCTAAATGATGTCGAATTGAACATCTTTACTGGGCACCTAACGCCTGAATGAAATGATTTCAGTCATTCTCTTCCCCTCAGTATCCTGCTCCCATATATGGCAAAGGATTTACCAAGCTGTTTCAATGCTTTTAGACCGTCAATCGCCATTTCGTATCCCTCCATTGTATGAAAATCTGGCTTTATTCCCCACGCCTGTTTGTTTGCTCATTCAACCGACAGTACAACTACTCCTCTTTGTAGCTGTTACAAGCATAGGTACCTTTTGAAAGTAGAAGCAAGCATGGCGGTTTCGCCCGGATCTTTAGACGCTCATTTTCAATCGACCATGCCATGAGAAGGATAACGAGCGTACAACAGATTGAGGAACCCCAAGGAGTAGTGAGCTTGTGGCAAGAAGGGGTTGACTCTCGTAAGGTGTTTGAACAAACGATGAGCCAGACCCTGTGCATCATCTCACGTGGCTTCAAGCGGCGCCCTCTGCTTACAAACTGCTGTCGACGAGCCGCAAGGTTTCCCATGTTGATACCAACGCGCCAACAGGAAGGGTCCAACAGGAAAGCGACGCATAAGCTTCTCCACGCCTCCTCTAGCCGTCCCTGTAATGGCTACGTCAGAATACATTGGGTAACTCGTTGCACATCTTAATACAGCATCTTGTTCAAGCGCTCCTTTCCCCAACCACGCGTCTTTCGAATCTTCCCCATATCGGCATGCTCTCTGACACAATCAGCATGTGATGAACCGAAATGAACAAGTCATACCTCATAGAGAGCATGGGCCTTCATCCGCTCGTGCTGTAAGGCGGAAGAGCTGTACACGCTGGCCAAATTGAGACAATCCTGTGAGGAAAAGCTTGACATGTGCGCTTAAGAAGGCGACACGTCACCTTGAGAGAAGCGCATTCAAGCTCTTCACCTTCCATCAGCATGTCAGTCCAACGTCAGGAGATGGTCAAGCGATCTCACCCGTCTGTGCTCTGCAACATAGCATCATCCACAAGAGCGCTAGCAGCAAACTGGCGTGCATGTTTGCTTTCCCTCCACTAGCATGAAATGTAGAACTGGACGAACTGGATCCGCCCCATCAGTGGCACCCGGACACCAGTGGGCTGGCCCGGCCGGGCCGGGCCCCGGGCCATCCGATGGACTACTTGGCCCGGTCGGAGAGCAGCTATCAACTGAGTAGATGAAGAGTCGCGTGGCTCTTCGGCTTCACTGATCTTTCACTACCCCACCTACACCTACGACCTCCTTAGTTTTCAGAGACATCGTAAATACCCCTTCCTGTGCCTCTACAATTACCGGTGTTTACCACCCATCTTAGGTGAGGACCCTTTTGCTCAATGTACCCTACCCTGGAGTGATCTCACTTCCCTAAAGCAGCCCGCCGCAGCCATGCTCCGTCAGGTGAGGAAACAGAATCGAAGGGAAGCTTGGGATGGCACAGATGTGAACGCATGTGGCTTTAGTGTGTGAGAAAGTTGATCGTTATCTCCTGCTTTCCCTCTCCCAAAGGCTCAATCTTTGCTTGTTCATTCTTGGGCTTGTTCTTCGTTTGATGGGTGGAGTGGTCGATGGCTAGTTATGCGTCTAATGCAGAGCTTGATTCAGTGTTTCGCAATGATTGTCTGCATAACTCTTTGAAAATCTTGATATTTGTAATTTTGAATAAGAATTTACTCTGCTCGATTGAGTTCCCTTGTCGATTGTGCAACATTGACCATTGAATGTCCTTTACCTACGTCAACGCCGATCAGACTTCAATTATGTATTGTTATGTAAATGTGATGAACAGTGCTGATTAAGAAGTTTGATACCCTTTGTGTTGATTCTAGTGCTGTGGAAGTTGACAAGGATGAGAAATCTTAAAGTCGATATGATCTTCGATGTGGAATCACTGGATATTCAAATACTGAGACAAGATGGCTTGCAGATGCTTTGCGTTACCAACCTCCCTCCTTGCCTCTTCGACCACACCCCTCCTGGTGTTTTTGATGGACAGGGCTCCGGACATGACTTCTATGGGGTGATTATACGATCGATTCGAGATGCAGCAACATGACTCTAATTGCAGACCATGTGGAACCCTCCTTCTGGCTTCGTCTCCGGAATGGATGGTGACCGTGCAGGACACTTCAACTGTGACTACCGCCAGGCGTAAGCCATCACAAGAAACAGATCGAACTCTTTCTTTCGAAGATGGGTGGTGGAAGTTGTTCAAGAATTGTAATTTTGTCGATGGACAATTGCTTGTGTGAATGGTAAAGCTGAAAGCACCTTTGATTCATACTATTCTTACCAATCATAACGCCAAAAATTGTATTCTTCATCAGCTTGCGAGTCTTGTTTCCATTTCACCTCCTTGTGTTGTCGAAAGGTTTCCTCCTGTAGCATATGCTTGTGCTCATGTGCCGTGAAATCAATCATTGCAGGAGCTGCTTCAATGTTCATACTTGAATCAAATTGAAGGTTCTCACCTTCACAGCCCAGTGCTGAAGGGTGTTGAATGCCGGAGCGCTCGCGCATGAGAATGTTGCTCTCTTCTATCTCCTGTCTTGTTTCGAACATTTGTGAAACAGAATGGACAGAGAAGGGTCTGTACCTCATTTTCTCTGCAGTCCTGTACGACAAGTCTTGGCTGCCTTTGTCTTCTTGCGATGCTGATGATGGCTGACTTGTGGTATCCGCGGTTGGAGTCATGCGCTGTGGTTTGAAAAGCCAGTTGAAGTAGCGAAAATGCGTGGGCCTATCCTCAATGCTTTTCAATTCTTCCTCATACTTTCTGTACCTGACAAACTCCGCGTGAGAGAAAACCGTACCACTCAACTACAGTACAAAGTTGTGAAGTATTCTTCTTCTGTTTTGTTGTAGTCTGCACTACCTGCCTGCAAAATTTCAACAAATTAAATGTGTTGCAAGCAGCAACGTATGAGCTACCCTCTTGAGTTTGAATTGTTCGAATGACTTAGTGTACGCATCTTGCATTCTTTGTTTGAGGGCATCTGTGAGTGGTAGATCAGTCAAGTTCCGCATGATCACAAAACCTGTCTTGGTAGAATGCTTCCCGCTTGTCGATGGATTTTGGGCATCGTGCTCTGAGTCTGAAGAGGTTTCTTCAGCATCATGATTTTCTGATTGTGGTCGATCATTCATCTGTCTTTCATGCTCTTTTCTGGATCATTTGTGATTCCATACCCATCAACGCAGAGCAAAACCTCAAAATCCTTCTTTCAACCTCTAAATTCATGGCTTTGATAGCTTGAATGCAGCCATTCATCTATAAATTAACAATCAAAGTGAGTCATCAACGCAAGAATCTTTTTCGTTCCTACCTCAACTTCCTTCTCTACTACTTTCCAGTCTCCTTCTCCAAGTTTGCATGGACACCATCGGCTTGCGTTGTTTTGGAAAGCGGAACAGGAAATCTAAGTCATAGGGAGAAGGGTCATGTGGCGGAGAAACTTGAGTGGCAGTAATACCTTTACTGTGTCACTTTGCGCAGTTCGGATCGCACACTCTGCAGTTTTCATGAAATCTAGCGATTGATTGTCAAAGTTTCATGTGCAACCTTCACCATGAAGAATCGCTGGAAGCAATGATTCCATCGAGATCGATGACAATTGATGGCATTCTGATGCAAACCATATTTATTGATAAAGGTGCAATTTGAATCACCTTCATATAGCGCAAGTGCTGACTGAAGCATTCGGTCCTGGTGTTGTAGATCGAGTCATGCGGATGGACATCTCTACAAGTTGTCACCTCAAGGCTTGCTGCAGTGACATTATCGTCGCATATCTAAATCAAAGAAAGTAAGGAGCGGAAAGAGATGCCGGTGCGAAGCCGGCGGGGCTGTACAGGGGCAGTTTGGAAATGATGTGATATGAGACTGATGTTCAACATTTGGTCACCTCGCCGTTATTGTCACAAACAGCGTGACAATCTTCCCCTGGCCACCCCTTATACCATCGACGCCTCCCCTGATACTTCCATGGTTGAGATGAGGCTTGGGCCAGCTTAAGAAATTCTTGTATGCCTTCGTTTGGATTATAACCATATGATTCGATCACGCGCAGAAAGTGAGACAGACCTCCACAGCAAGGATTCATAGGCGCCATTATAGTTGAGAAGTCAAGATCAATTATTCCCAGCTCGTCCTAGTATTGAAGAAAGTCATCTGAAGTAAAGAATTCCAAAGCATAAAGACAGATTGAGAGTTAACAACGCTTCGTTATACAGTGTCACCTCGAATACATCGATCAAGCAGTGCTCTTTTTCACGTCCTGCTTTCACACCATCGTTTGAATCGATTCCAACGGAGAACAAAAACAGAGTCCATAGGAGTGTCTTGATCAATGCTCTCAGCATGTGAAATGTATCCCACTCTGAACAAATAATCAGTTTCTATTAATGCTTGTGCGAAAATCTCTGTCTCTGTCTCTGTCTCTATCTCACTGCGTATGTCACCGTCTCTGTCCTTCTTTCACTCAGTCTCAGTCTCAGTCTATCTCTCTCAGTCAGTGAGTCAGTCGCCCTGCCAGTGCCTGTCTGTCTGTCTGCCTGCCTGCCTGCCTGCCTGCAGGCTGCCTGCCTGCCTGCCTGTCTGCGTGCCTGTCTGTCTGTCTGTCTGTCAGTGCCTCTCACTTCCTTTCACTGCCCGGCTGCCTGCCTGCCTGCCTGCCTGCCTGCCTGCCTGCCTGCCTGCCTGCCTGCCTGCCTGCCTGCCTGCCTGCCTGCCTGCCTGCCTGCCTGCCTGCCTGCCGCGCCTCTCACTGTCTCAGTACGGTCACTGTCTGTACGGTCTGTCTGTCTGTCTGTCTGTTGTCTGCCCCCCCCCTCCCGGCCCGGCCCCCGTTGCTCTCTCAGACGGTCAGCCTTCGATCGGTCATCATCTGTCAAAATTTCCAGTCCGATACAACTTGATTTTCAAGTCTCTCTTTATAGAGCCTTCAAAGTTTTTTAGCCGAAAAAAATTAATTGACCGTTCCCGGTTCAGTGACCGGTGATCGGACCGGCCCGGCGGCCCCGGCCCCCGCCCCCGGGGCACTGAGCCGCCGGCCCGCGCCCCGGGGCGGCCGGGCACTGACTCAGCCTGCCAGTGTCGGAGTTGCACTCCGACGAAATCCGCCGGTGATCGGACCCGCCGTGAGCCGTGGGCCCGGGCCCGGCCCGGTCACCGGTGACTGCCGCACAGCGGCACTGCCGCACAGCCGCCGCCGGGCCCGGGCGGCCGCGGACCCGGTACTCGGGACTCTCAGCGGCCGCGCAGGGGCCCCCCGGCCCGGCGGCCCCGGCGTGCGGCCCACCGTCTGGCACGCACGGCGAGTACGGTCGGACTCTCCGGACGGGTCCGGCGGACCGCCGGGTCGCCGACCGTTGCCCAGTGCCACGGTGGCGTCCGACCGTACCCGGTGCGGCGGGCCGGCCCCGGGGATCCGACCCCGGGTCCCGGAGTCCGCCGGCCCGGGTCGGTACGACGGTACCGGCGGCCGCCGTGGCCCCGGCCGGACCGGCGTCAGACTCCCGCTGAGGCTCCCGGAGTCAGTGAAGACGGTCGCACGGCTGACCGTGCATCCGGGGGCCCTGCCGCTCGGGCCCGGCTCAGTGGGCCCCGGCCCCCGGCGGCCGGGCTCTTGTCCAGCGCGCAGTTAAGTGAAGGTATCAGTTAAGTTTGGGGGACAGCAGTTGGCAGGATTGGACGGTTTGGTTCTCGCTGTCTTTTCTCTTCAAGTCTCGCCGTTTGGCCTGTGCGACAGTGTCAGGGGCAAGCCTCCTCGACTCTCCTGATTGTCCTCGTACTGATTTTTAACTTAACTTTGAGTAAAGGCTCAGAGTGGACGGTCGGGAGTCCGCCGGCGGCCGGGCCGCGCCGATCGACGCTGAGCCCCGGCGGCCCGGCCGGACCGTGACAGTCTGATCTTATCCGGGATCAATGTGATCGTGCTTCTGCCGGTGCCCACCCTTCCCCTCTCATTCGAAACGACCCGAGGTGCCGAACGACTCTTGAGGCTGTTCTGTCCCTGATTTCGTGTGTTTTCAGGGACCAACCAAAAAAAGAAAGACAGCCCGGAATCGGAACATAGTCGCTATGAAGGAGGAGGGTGGGGTACTCACTACATATTTTCCCGGGGGTGGTGTAGGGGTTGTATTTATGTCGTCGGGGTGTAGTATAGGGCACGAGGATCTGTAGGGCGGCGCAATACCGCAACGATCCGAAATCTGTGGGGGTAGGGGGTGAAGGTCAATTGCGACTCAAGGTTTGAGTGATGTAGGAGATGGGTACTGTGAAATAAAATCTCATAATTTATAATCCTATTGGAAGATTTCAAGTCTCAGCCTAGTATTCTTGAAATAAAATTTCAAATGAGTAAGGTATGATGATTGATAGAGGGGTATTCGAAGGGGAAGGGTAGGGTCTCGGGGTGGGAAGGCGGATCGGAGCCCCAAGAGGGCAAGAGTCATCGAGACTTTCGAAGGACGGGAATGGAAGGATAGGGAGAGGTTAAGGTTGGTAAAGGGAAGAAGATAAAACGAGAAAGCAAAAGATACAACGAGAGAGCTATGAAAGCAGCAACGAGATCAAGCATTTCACCTTGTAGGAATCTCACGAAAGAAATGGAAGCGTCAAAATGATTGTGAACAATGTTCAATTGTCTTTGATCAATTTTCTGGTTTGATATAACATGAATGCACTCTGAAAATGTTATTATCAGGTGTGTTATGAAGAGATAGTTCGAAGTCCTGGCTTGAATTCATCTTGGAACATCCGATCCTGGTCAAATCCACGTCTCTCAACAATACGTTGACACAGGCATGGTAAGAACATTCGACTTAGTGCTTCCTGGAACCCAACGACCTCGAAATGCTATACAAAAGGTACAATACCGCTCTAGATTACCTCTTCATCAAGCTGTGATCGATGGTAAACTGGAAGAAGTCGAGGCACTCTTGAGGTGCAACGCGAACCCTAATGTAATTTGTGAATCAGCTGGAACATCTGCTCTTGCAATGGCTATTCTTCAAAAAGATTCCTCAATCGTCGAATGTTTTTTTAAGTATCACAAATTTTTTGCAGAAGCTGAGAATGAGAATAACAAGGTTTGGTATACGCTTGACTTGTCGAAGCAAGGAAGGGAAATCGGAAGCGTCCTTCACCTTGCTGCATGTTGCGTTTACCGAGATACTCAGAGTCTGCTCCTCAACAACCACACAACCACAATCATTAAAAGGCTTTTAGATGAAGGCGCGGATCCCAACGAATCTCTTCCTCGCCTTAGTCCGCTAACTGGTGGTCAGGATACCAATGTTCTGAGTATTTTACCTCCGTGTACTTCAGCAGACCTCATTTTTGATCTGCTCGAGGGAGGATGCAATCCTTTCATCAAAACAATTCACTTTTGTCATGAAAACATTGTATCTCAGACTGATCATGACAAATTCAATCTTTTTCAATCCTTTCTGAGATCTTGGATTGATTGTGAGTGCCATAAGCGGTCCAACCGGATGTCTCTCAACAAGAAGAAATTGAAACTTGAAGTATTATGCAGTCTCAGTCGCGGCAGGCTAGATCCAAGGCTAGTGGATAATGTCAGATCCCTTTTTTTTAACAAAGAAGCCAAATTCTCATCCATGGAAACAGAACTACATTTAGTGTGCTTCAAGACAGTCCAGGAGAGCTCTGAGAACGCAATTTGCATGGCAGAATGTATGGTGCGTGCATTTGCGAGAAAGGAATATGTTTTGTGCACACATGAGCAACTTAGGACATATTTGATTTCTCAGACAGAAACCTTTGTCAGTCAGCTTCAAGCTTCGGGATGCAGATTATGTGATCACCTTCCAGGGGGTGTTCTTGCTCAAATTTTAGAATGCATGTCCATGACGGAGCTTCGACAGTTCTTGTTGGTGAATCGCAAGGGATATGCTATCTTGCTCCACTTCATCAAACTTCGGCAAAAAATTTCAAAGAGGCTGCTAGCATCTGAGTTTCGACCCTTCCAAGCTAGGATTGAAAGACGGCGAGAAATAGCGTAAGAAACTGTTAAAGAACAGCAGGACTCCAAAGACTTTTTTTCCCTCAGTATATTCTTTTCGACTCATGGATCAACCAACGTGTATGATTCAATCCCGGACGGTTTTTGGGCCGCCTGCTTCCCCACTCGGCACTGGTTCCTTGGCCAAAAGCCATAGCCAAGGCCATAGGATTCGGTCTAATCAAGGTATGGCGAGATCTAGTCAAACATGGACCGCGGACGTTGACGTACACAAGTACTCCAGCACAGGATGGTCGTGCAAGTGACTCAACTTACTGGTTGGCTATCGTGACTGGCGGCGGGCTGCGTGCCAGCCAACATTCTTAGATTTGTGGGATGGCCCACACAGCTCGCCAGTCGAGCGGCCTTACAAAGCACCGTGTGGTGTGTCAACAGTGACTGCGGACCATCACTTGGCCGGAGCATATTTGTCAGAGGCCATTATCACTGAAGCGACTGTGCGCCACCGCCGAAAAGCCCTTTCCTGACAACATAATGATTGAACTAAGTGATCTCCCGCTGCGAGTACGCCGTTGAGTTTGACTCCAAGTAAGGCTGGCCAATTCTTGGAGACTGAATGTTTATATCATTTCCACCCCGACTGTTTCGGGAAGGAAGCATGCAACCAGCGCACTGATGCAGCCAACGGCAGCAAATATCTGCAAATTGTTTTAAATGAATCAATGTGCGGAAAGAATTCAATGAAACCGGTTGGGGCAGAGGTGGATGACTCACTCCTGCATTGATTTTTACCCTGCGTGCACATGGAATTGCATCAAGTATGCAACCTGAGCCGTCGACTGTGCTCTCCATTTCAGACATGAGAACAACAACCTGAATTTTTGTATTAGAAAGAGTGTTCAAATGTCTTCCGCTGTGTCGAACGTATGGTGCGAGGATGGACCCAACACGTGCTGCTTGGCTCCCAATCGCAGTCGTTAAGGACCTGAAGAAATCTAAGCTTCATAAACATCTGAGTCCTGAAATTACCTTGCACCTGTCGGAAAAATCTCAGGCGACCACATCCACACCAATGAAAAAGCGCCAGAAGCCTGAAGTGGTGTTAACACATGCCAGACTAACTGCATGAGCTAACAAAGATCTTCCCAACAAGCGCAAATAGTAATCTCCCTCCTTTTCGGGGATACGACCAGGAAACCAGACAGAAGAATGCTTGAAAAAAGATCATTGTTAAGTCAGTCACAAAGTTCTCTGCTCTACCAGCCAAGAGCGTAAGACTGATATAAGAAGATTTTCTTCCCGCTGTGTCCGCGAGGTACCTTGAGAAATTTCGTAAAGGTATGTACACAGAAGGAATGGTTTGACCTCGAAAGCACGTAGGCAGGAATTTCAACCAGGCCCATAAGGAACATGTTCAAGTGTATCTATGAATTTTGAGATTGTAGAACAGAAAATTTTTCATTTACCTCCTTAGAAATGCTCCCGGCACTCAGAGTAATTCCATAATACACAAATCCTCCAATAAGCCAGACTACACATACCTGCATCATATCACGCACGTCTAAGAAATTTTGTTTTCAGACAGTCATGAGCAGCTGACTTGTATCCGAATCCTGCAATGGCATGACTTGGAAGTATCCATCCCAAAATAACTTGCCTTCAAAAGCATGCTGTACGTGAACTCTTTGTCCCCGTTTTCTGTTTGATTTCTGTGTCCCTTCTCATCCTCACTACCACCATCACCAACAACTTGTCCAGCTTCCTCCTGTTAATGACAAGTGAAGCGTCAATCTACTATTATGACACATGATATCGTGAACAATTTCACCGTAACATGAAGCAAAGCTCTGTGCTGATCAGCAGTCTCAGCTTTCTGTTTGAAATGAATTACAAGTAACTTGATCCAAAAGAAATTATTTGAGAAAACATGATAATCTCACAGAATGTTGCAACTTTTCTCCGCCCTTCAGTTTCCCACTCCCTGTTTGCTCTATTAAATGGAGGAAAGCAAAAATCAAAGTAAAAGATTGGATTCAAGTAATATATTACTCAATTGATTTGCTAGCCATTTGGGTGATTCCGGAATCCACCACCATGAAATCTGATGCAAATCAATAAGTGATTGATGAACGCTGAATGATGAATAGCACTATGAAAAGTGCTGTGGGCAGAGCTGCAACGAAATACAGCTGTACATTGTTGTCAACAATCATGTAGCAGCAGCAGAAATGGACTTACTTGGCGCCAATCTGGGAATACTACAGCAAAAGATGCTGCTAAGCACAAGCCGCAGGCAAAGAAACACTAATTTATACAGTGTTCAGATATGCCCCCTGTTATTTTGTATGGAGAATCAAGTAACCTGCATCACTGATCCGCTCGTTGCTCGCTGTTGCACTCCTGAAAGTTCGATACAGTGTACATAAGCAACCAAATCTGCACCGCCCTGGCAAAAGGAATCGATTCAGACTAGGTATGTAGGACATAGTTGACTCATACGAAGGCAATTACCATGCAAACTCCTGCAAAAAGGCGCAGGGAGAACAAAGAATATGGACCGACAGCCAACGCACATGATGCTTGAAAAATAAGGCCAAGCGCTGTTGCAATGTAGACAGAAGGATGCCTATCACTTCAATGACAAACTGAGAGGAGTGCGCAGCATAACTTGCCTTCCCCATTTGTCAGCTATCCATCCGAAGAATGGGTCCCCGAACAACCAACCCAGATAAAATGAGCTGTACACTGCCGCCCTTGTTGAAGGGTTTAACCGGAATTCTTCAGTAGCCGTCAGAATGTCTCTTCTTTCTTTTGCGAACACAAACACATCCGTGAAAGCACTGACAGCAACTGAAAGCCAGCACCAGCTAAAGAAGAATAGATACAGGGAGTATTCGGCTGCTGTTATGGTCATTTTGGCTTTGATCCGAGTAATAAAAAGATATATGTCCAATTGGTGCCCTGTGCGAAGAAGGATTCAGATCGCACAGGGCCAAGATACCAATGATTCGATCGAAGTTGACGAGCAAATAGAAAAGAAATACCCTCGGTGATCTTTTCCTGGAGTTTCCTGTTCTAAAGTTCAACAGCAAAGAATTAGAATATTTTTGGACAGACAAGTAGAGATAGCTCTACAACACTTTCGAAGATCATTATATGATTCAAACTGTAAGGCCAAACAATCTAGACACTCCTAGGCAGAAAAAAAGCACAACGATACAAGGTAGAAAAACCAACAACATCAGGAAAACACCTAAATGAAGGACATTCACGTCATCAAAAGAGAGGTCCGTAGTGGAAAACTGCAGATCGCGGAGGACACTAAAATACATCGAGAGATTCTGCGAGCAAAAGTTGAACATCAGGGTGGAGAGAACAAGGAGCGGAATGATGGCTGCAAAAGCAAATATTTGATAGAATATGAAGGGCGTGAGCGTGGATGTAAAAATGAAATTGATCTAACATCCTAGAACAAGAATTCTGAGTTGGACAAGCTGGTGAAGTAGATATGTCCTTCCGGTCTGTGAAGCCCTGCAAGCCATTTTCGCCTAGATTAGTTACTAGCCGTGATTGGAATTATGGGGTAGGGTCAATAGACAATAGGGGTATGATGCGAAATCAAGTCTCGAAGGAGGGGTACCGCTCTGGTCTCTCAGATGGGTACGAGGAAAATGCTGTTGGTGGGGGTCATGTTGAGTGGGTGGTACATGTGTGACTCATCATGTTTGCAGGGAATATCGGTTGTACCTTTATTCACAGTCTTGTGTTGTGATACTGATTTTCAGTCATTTTTGACTGAAGAATCCTCAGAGGAATGGTCATGCCTGCAAGTCTCGCAGTCAAGGCGGGCTGATTTTCACGCTAGCAGCGCCGCTCTCGCTAGCTATCGCGCTGGCTCAGCCATAGAGCCCAGCATAGAGCCTGATGGCCTCCCCGCTAGGCATAATGGCCTTGTTCGCGGCCATGGGATATGCATGCGGCTCGATGATGGGAGCATCGCACTCGCCAAGTCGAGGCTTGAAATCGCTAGCTTCTTTCATGCCGTATCGGGTTGGTGGTAGCTTGGAGGTGCTGAGGATCCGGGGCGGAGGAATCACTCAACTTCAAGCAGAAGAGGTTGTTCGATGTGACAATTTACTCGGTGAAGCTCCGATGTGGCACGAGGAGCAGAAGGCTTTATACTGGCTTGACATAAATGGCAAGAAGATGTGCAGATATCACCCAAACTCTCAAGATTATAAGAGTTGGGATCTACCTGAGGTTGCAGGCAGCTTTGCATTCACCAAATCTGGCGGGTTCTTGATGGGTTTTGCTAGCGGGTTGTCATGGTACAACCTTGAAACCAGCGAGAGAAGGCTCATCTGTCCATACGAAGAGGGGCTCCCAACAAGACCCAACGACGGTAAATGCGACCGCGAGGTATTTCAACCACGATTGCTTTTGAAAAACTTATTTATTTGTAATAGGGAAACTTTGTGATTGGTTCATACAATAACAACCATCGTCAAGACAAGAAAAACATCGCTGGTTTGTGGAGATTAAATGCACAGACCCTCGAGCTTGAGGAGATCCTCGATTATCGTTTTCGATGCTCCAATACCATCGCATTTAGCGCTGAGGGTGATCTCGTGATTCCCTTGCAATGCATAATTTTATTTGTAGGTGACAAGATGTATTTTTGTGATACACCGACGCAGGAGATCTTCCGATTTGACTATTCACCGAATGATAAACTCAGAAACAAAGTGTCGTTCTGGAAGATGTCGGAGGTTTAATCATGATAAGCCGTTCAATTTGTATTCAGTTCTTTTACGCCAGGATGAAAAAGGAGGCCCGGACGGAGCGACTGTTGACAACCAAGGAGGACTATGGGAGGCACAGGCTGGAAATTGGAAGGTGCCCGAGCGTGTTTTTGTTTTTTATGTTATTTTTTTCTTTTGGTGTGACTGTGAAATGCACACGTAGGTTGTTCGACACAGACCTGAAGATGGTGCTGTCGATTATGAGGTTGGATTGATTAGTACCTCCTTGTTTTTTTTCTGTAAGAATGGATCATTGTGCAGATCAATCTCCCATTTAACAACCCAACATCTTGTGCGATCGGGGATGGCGTTCTTTACATAACTACGGCAAGGCATCGGCTGAGCGAGGAAGAGGTTTGTCTGCTTTGATGCTGAAATCAGGAGTTTTGATGATCTTTTCAAGCGAAAAGAGCAACCAGGAGCAGGGCAACTCTGGGCAGTAAAACTTCCCGAAGGTGAGCTTATCCTAAAGTGCTTCGTTTTACAAGCTTTGAGTCTAAATTGCACATTGTATTGATGTTTTACGAAGGTGTGTCTGGAGTGCCTGAACCATGCTTTTTGGCGGATTGCCCGATTTGATGTTCAATGGCATTGTTGAGTAAAGTTCACCTGGTTGTAGTGATCGAGATGATTTCTTTTACTACTACTGATAATAGCGGATGGATCTCCATGGATCTTGAGGCAATATATAAAAATATTGTTTTCTTGAAAAAGAACCTGTTCATTGCAGATACCAATCTGCTTTTTAACCGTTCCGGTCCAGAAATATCTCGTAACAATCTCCTGCAAGTCCTTGCACGAGGACATCATAACGTACCCCTACCCCCTTCAAGACTCAATAAAATTTCTTTTCGTTCTGGTCACAAATTTAAAATTAATCGTCAAATTCGAAGTTAAAAAATGTACCCATAGAAATAACAACCCACCTACTCCCACCAGGTGGCGTTCTTTAGGATCCTTTCCATGGAACCAGTGCTTTACGTTGCGATCTTCTCTCCCCCGATCTTGTAGAGACAACTGCATTCTTCACGTGGACAGCTTGTTTGGCATTATGATTCTTAATGTTCGAATCAAATTTGCTTTCCCGGTCTTCTTTCTGATCTCGACCCAAACCCTGAACCTCTGATTCAGGATCTTTCTTGCGTCTCTTTGGTAGCTATTTTTGGAACGCTCGACTATGTGTTTTATTTGATCCTGACGAGCTGGAAACCATTGCCCTTCATCATATCACTGCTGTTACGTATTGCTGAGAGATGCTCGACTTTTGTGCAGTTTTTCTCTTTTACGTCTTTCCGTTTTCGATTGTTTCCGCGTTGCCGAAAAGTCCCATTCTGGCTTCAAGCAGCTTGATCAATCATGGTACCGCTTTCTCCAAGCAGCCTCAAATTGGGTGGAGCATACAGAAATCAGATGATTGCTTTACTGTTACATCCAAACAGATTTCTCCAAATTTTGTTTCTAACAGTTATGCTAGTCTGGATAGTTCTCGGCAAAGAGCCAACACAAGTAGAAAAGGTGGAAGACGGTTGCAAAGGACCTCTTCAAAAATGGGGGAGCTTTGTAATGCTGCCGAACAACAGTCGTCATCCATGGACTACTGGCCTACCAAAGCCTCGATAATCGTTTTACACGATCCCGATCAATTCCCTAAATCTTCGTCTTCTTTTACCATGCTTAAAGCAAAATTGTACCCACATATAGAATTCTAATGATAGCAACAAGAGCCTTGCTATTTGAGGCTGTATTTGCACAGAAAATGTGTCAGGACACCACGATCCTTCAAAAACATGCATTAGAAGCAGCAGTTGCAGCAAATGGTCACCTTCTGGTTTTTCTTTCCAGAGTTCGAGTGTTCTGACTTCTTCACACCTATGAGGGGAAGCGAAGATCGAATCTATGCAACTTGCTATCAGATCTAGGAGGAAATCCTGCAGATTGAGTTTCTACCTGAGGATCAACATGTCGAAGTGCAGCAATGCTTGACTGGTACTGGAATGATACAGGCTCATGGCTGCTCAAAATGTACGCGAATGAACCTCTGTGAAAATTTGAATTTCAAGAGTTCATTTCTTGTCATGACTGTACCTGAGAATTTCTTCTAAGGAAACTTTTTCTTGAATAAAAAGTAGCTTTGCATCGTTGCATTCCAGCTGAGAAATTTCAACTTCCCACATTCCAAAGATCCTTTTGCTGTCTTTGACTCAAGCAAGGTATGAAAAACTGAATGCAATTGACCTGTTAACTTTAAATTCAATATCTTGATTTGGCCTCGCGCAAATGTCAGTCGCTTTTCAAAAGTCAACATGCAAGGATACTGCCAAGGTTGCAATAAGGATGCATCCAAAAAATATAGTCTCAAACCCTTGATAAGTACTTGAAGGGTCTCGGAGCAAGTCAGAAACTTGTTGTTTGATCTAAACCAGAACCTGGCGAGCATGTATCCATCTCGATTGAGGATTTTGGTGGTATTCTGAACATAATTACATAATGCGTTACAGAAAGATGCTTGACTGAGCTTACCATGTTCGTTTCTTTTGGCTTCACGTAATTTTTTCAGAATGAGATCAACAGCTGACGGCCGAGGAGTACTATATCCAAGTCGATGGCATATAGATCGAATTGCTGATGGCATATAGATCGAATTGCACGTGTTATGCCCCTATCAGAGCTCAAAAGGATTCGCTCTTACCCTCCATCCAGAAATAAGGAGGTTTGTTCAAGAATGGCTGACAATCAATCCATGCACCTGTTACATTTGTTACGGTTGCCGTTTCTCATTTTCAAACTGTTTCCTAGCTCTCGAAACTCAATGCTTGACCAAAACGTCTCAAAGATCTCAGACTGCACCAGACATGAAAGCTCATAAGCGTCCTTGGCTATCGAGCTAAGCCTAGATTTACAATCAGTAAAAACGTTGATATGCCAATATTTCAACCCAACCGCGACATTACACCGTCGCCATAAATGTCCTTCAGAACAGGAATCAGCACGCTGGAGAATCAATTCGTAAAACGAAGTCTGCTCTTGGATGCATGGTCACACCCTCTTAATTTTCCTCGAGTACTCCAGCTTGGCGTGGTATCTTTGAAGTAAGGAACTCCGTATGTCATTGAGAAATTGTAGATTTCATGCTTGTGCAAAGAGAGCAAGGGCCGCTGAAGCTCAACCCTGTACTGCGTCATATACTGCACTTCTTTCATTCCCTGGGATCACGTCAGAACTTCAATTCCGTTTCCATGCATCGTATACCGCTAGGTTAAGGACGCTACTTCCTTTCATAACATTAGAGATGACATTTTCTTCCACGTCTCCTTGATGATGACCGAGCATTATCCCCGTTGCTCCGCTTTCTTACGAAACTTGTTAAACCTCAGGGCTAACCAGAATGGAACAACCTGAAAGCGCAGTCGAATAAGCTGAGAAACGAATTTCACGTGTCTGAATTTCGTAATCAGAACGATCTACTCCTTTTTGATTCCTTGTAAGGTTTTCGACATTTTTCAAGTGAAAGTGAATATTTCTTTGCTGACACCACTTTTGCAGGAAGTGAGCTTCTTCGAAACTTTCCTTTCTGTTTCCATAATTGATGTGTACGGCAGATATGTTTCGAAGAAAATATTGTTTTGCACCACATGCAGGTTTCCCCCTGACTGTTTTACTTGACTTACTTTTCACATCTCTGATGTAGCAGAGACACTGACAAAGAACCATTGAGTCTACGCCTCCCGATAACGAAACCACCACTGAGCCACTGCTGCAATGAGTTTCTAGAAAACAATTTATCGTCTTGCAAACTTGATGTTCCAGGGCTTGAGATGGATCAATGGGATCAAACCCTCTGAATTCGAATAACTCACCATCATATCTTAGGCTGTCTTGCAGGTTGTCAAGTTGCCGACGAGTTGCTCGTTTAAATCGAACAAGGATTTCAAGTGATCGCTCATCTTTTGCATTTCTTGCTTCCTTTTCCCATTTTTCTGTCATATCTATGAGAAGCTTCAAGGAGCCTTGGTCAGGTGAGTGTCTTATAGGCATCATTGCAAAAACCCGTTCTTCATACTTGAGCTTTTCAAGCCAATTTTTGGATAGCAGATCCATCGACAATTGCCTAGCAGCCTCACTGTTGCGTTTTATTTTCCAGTCGTCATGTTCATCACGGTAACAATGCCTCGAAAATTGATCCAATACTATAATCAAAGCAGTGATATCTGAAGCACTTCTTTTCCAAATCTCTAGTTGACCCTGCTCGGCTTGAATCACAGTACTGAAGAAGGTCGAGTTCACCAGCTCGTCTGCTATTCGTCTTTCTTCACTTCCTTCTTTTGTAAACCAAAGTTCTTTGAAAAGCTTTCTATAGTCTTTTTTGAACCAGAATTTGAGTACATCACATGGTTTTGTCGGAATATGCCTCTGTGTCAAATAGTGCGGATAAGCTTTTTGACAGATACTGTTTCGAATCTTAGAGATCTTTTCATTGGGATGAAGAAAGACTATGAGAACAAGCATAACCATCAATCCTCCCATCCTCGCGTAGCCAAAAAATATGGCCAGTCCGATCCGTCCCTGGTTGTGGTTCCTGTGAAAAATCAGGGATTAGGGTTTAGTTAGGGTTTAGTGTTTAGTCTAGTCTAAAGAGGCTCGGAGCACTGGGAGTACACGGCCTACAATGCTAACCCTTCTTCTGAGGTCTCTTCCTTCTTTCTACCGTGCTTCTGCAATTTTCTCTTGGCTTAGGCAGCCTCGGTCGGGAGAGTTGCCTCTCCGAGGCTCCCCTCGACTTAGGGTATAGGGTTTAGGGTATAGGGTATAGGGTTTGGAAGGGGCAAGGACACAGAAGACAGATGGGAGACGAAAGGGCAACGGTCAACGGACAGACCGAAGGTGAAGCCTCATAGGCGAAAAACAACCAACATGGCAAGGAAGGGGCAAGGACACAGGAGACAGATGGATGACGACAGGGGAAAGGTCAACAAGGACAGACTGACGGGGAAGCTTCACAGGCGGCAGGCGGGGAAGGGACATGGACTTAGCGCAAAAACTGGACAGGTGGACGGTTACACTGAAACCGTCAACCCGGGCCCGGAGGAGACATGGCCGCACCGGCGGCTCGGAACTGAGGACTATGGAAACAACAGAAACAGCGAAACAACGATAGAACCCTGGATGCCACAACGGGCCATCCAAGAAGGGCCGCTCTGCCAAGCGTGAGAACCCATTTAGACTAGACTAGACCGGGAAGGTACCCGATGCGACTACTCTAGCATTCTAATAAAATCGACTACTACTACTACTACTACTACTAGGGTTTAGGGTTTAGGGTTTAGGGTTTAGGGTTTAGGGTTTAGGGTTTAGGGTTTAGGGTTTAGGACCGGGCCCCTTCCCGAGGCACCGGGCCCCTTCCCGAGGCACCGGGCCCCTTCCCGAGGCACCGGGCCCCTTCCCGAGGCACCGGGCCCCTTCCCGAGGCATGCACATCCGCGGCGCGTAGGGAAAGGGGACCGGAGGAAGCTGCGAGCAGGGCTTGGTATACTGTAACAGACAGACCGCTGGAGTAACAGACAGACCGCTGGAGTAACAGACAGACCGCTGGAGTAACAGACAGACCGCTGGAGTAACAGACAGACCGCTGGAGTAACAGACAGACCGCTGGAGTAACAGACAGACCGCTGGAGTAACAGACAGACCGCTGGAGTAACAGACATGACCGCTGGAGTAACAGACAGACCGCTGGAGTAACAGACAGACCGCTGGAGTAACAGACAGACCGCTGGAGTAACAGACAGACCGCTGGAGTAACAGACAGACCGCTGGAGTAACAGACAGCCGCTGGAGTAACAGACATGCTCTCCTCCCCTGCAGTTTGAGGGGATCCCTGCGAGCTAGGGTGCTGAACAGGATATTTTTCTGTGCAGAAACGGTTGTTTGATCATGTGGTATCTATCCAAAGAGGAAAGGAAACAGATTGCTCGTGTCCGAGTTTCCCAGTTCCTAAACAAGGACACGACGCCTTCAGCACCTTCGCTAGGAGAGCTGATCCGAAGATTGGAACACTTCGTCAGGCAGTACCCTCAGAGCAGGACAGGCAGAGCCTTGCAGTCCAAGGAAGTCTCGATGAACGCCTTAGCCGAAGCCATTCGACAGACCTGCAAACATGCTGAAGTCAGGAGCCAGGAGGATGCCATCAAAGAATGGGGGGAAGAAGGACAGTCGTGGTATGTCTCTGCATGGAACGCAGACAAACAGGAGGTACTAGACAAGAGTGCCTGCATCGATGCTTCAGGAGCGTCCCCCGAGAGTGGTAAACTGATTACCATGGCTATCCTCGGAGTTCCTACCCAGTACATAAAACAAGTTGAGGTACTGTGTGAGAAGTTGAAGGATCAAGGACTCTTGGTGCACGAGGAGCAGGGCAAGAAATGCATCTCGTGGAGAGCCCCGATCAAGAAAGATTTGATTCCGACAGTGGATGAAATCCCAGTCGTGGCAACACTCCAATTGAACGACGCAGCAGAACTGCTGTGGAAAGGACAGACGAACTTCAGGATCGACGGAAAGATGATCCGCGCGGTGAACGCGCATTCGAAGCATCCTTGCTCCTTCAAGATAAGGCCACAGAAGGATAAGCACTCTGGCAAGGCGGGGGCCCTAGCTGAGTTCTCTCACCTCCTCAAGATGAATGGCATGAACTCAGCTGGGATTACGGAGATCTATCGTCAACACCTGCTGCAACAAGGAATAGCTGTGTTGGAGGTGCAGCCGGAAGCGGGCATGCAGCTAGAGGTCAAGACGAAGAGGAGACCTCAAGGTCAGCCCAACAAACGCACTTTCGCAGCAGCCGGAGTGGACGAGATACGACAAGGAAGAGAGATCGATTGGATTGCGAGATGCTCTTCGACGGACGTCCTGAGCACCACGCTACGGATGTTTGAGGGAGACGACAGGAATGGAGGAAGCATACACCTCGGACTGATGTCGGAAGATGAAAAGATCCTCAAATGGTTCACTACTCAGGTTAGTGCAATCACCAGGGTAACGAGACAGCATCCAATTAGGTTGGACTTCTTGCCCGACGCGCTAGGAGCAGTACCACGAAGAGTGACCTATGAGGTACTGGTCAAGAGTAAAGCACAGAAGGGAAGGTTCACCAGAGAGGAAGCTGAACAGATCTGCGACGGGGAGGATCTCTCTATGGGCATGACAATTCGAGGACTGAGACGGATCGTGGCGAGCTGGAAGGAGTCAGCGGCTGAGCACATCGTCAAGATCTCCTCGAAAGAAGATGTCGAGACCAACAGCTGGAACGGTGAACATCTAGTGCTCAGCTTCTCAGAAAAAGAAACGGCGATTGACATCCTCAGGTCCTTTGCGCCATGGGACAGGGCAGGGAAACTTCTTCTCCTAGAGCCAGGCAGTGCCAACATCTGGGAAGCGATCGCTACAGAACCCCCTACAGAGCCTCTTTGGGCTCAGGTAGATCTCGAACGGATCGAGAATGAGATCAACATCCCAGAACCAGAGGCAAACGTGGTCCTCGAAGACATCTACAAAGTTCTAGAGGAGACTGTCAACCAGGGACAGAGTGCAGAAAACCAAGCTTGCAAACTCAGGCTCGATGGAGCCATCGTCGGCCTGTACGACAGCTTGTCATCTCCTGGAAATGCATGTTTTCCGACACTGAAGGAATGGGCGGAATCATCCTCGGCAACCCAGGACGACGACATGCAAGTTTTGAAGAGTAAGATTGCAAGAGTAAGCGAGCAGCATGCGTGGGAGACGGTAGCATCAAGAAGACGCCAGGGAGCCTTTGCAAAAGCAACAGGGAGAGGAGGGGAGAAACAACAAAAAGAATTTCGAACTGACCTCTTGTTTCTTGCCCTGAATAAAGTAGTTTCCACAGCTACGCTAACCTATCAAGGCAGCGTTGGCTCGGGAGACGAAATTGAGTTTCTCTTGAGCAAGGCAGAGGAGGAGATGGGACTGGAGATGGAAGAGGAGAGTGGCAACCAAGAGGGAGAGGTTGCCTCTCAACTCTAAAACCGAATCATGACAGGAGGAGGAAGGGAGGAGGAAGGGGGGAGTGCCGGGAGTAGGCAAGGGGGGGAGATGGAAACGGTTTCAAAGGAAACGCAACATGTAGATAGAACACTGTATTTTTTTGATTGGATCGAGGAGATCCCATGGTCAGACAAACGAGGCGACAAGGAATTTGGCATCACTGCCCTGAACAATCGAGGAGTAAGCGGATTTTTATGCGAGAACATGATCGAAGTTACTCTCAATGAGATGAGCAAGGCTCTTCAAGGAGGACGAGCAATACACATGGTACGCAAAGGGAGAGCCCACGAGGACCAGCAAACGCGGAACATCATCTTCTTGCCAAGGGTAATATCCAGTCTGCGAGACGAGGCGTCCCGCTTGAGAGTCGGGAACAGATTTCACCTCAGCAGCTTGAGAGATGAGCAACACACCTTCCTGTTTCCAACTATCATCCACAGCAACCACTGGATTCTAATTGCATTAAGATATGATCGGCGATGCGCGTACATATTGGACCCTCTCTGCGAGGACAGAACGAGCACAACGAGGGACCCACGAGGGATCGAGGGAGCGAGGAATCTTGCAACAACGGGGGAGCACGGAGCAAGTGAAATGGCTGAGCTGACAATCGGAGTGATCGAACACATCTTTGACGATCAGACCAACGCCCCATGGCAGGTAAAGTGGTGCTCAGCCTTCCAACAGGAAGATAACTTCAACTGCGGAGTGTTCGCTATCCTTCACACCCTACTGCTCTGCGAGACAAATCAAGACTGGCTAGCAACGATGGAAACGAGGACAAGACTAAGACCTCCGCAAGAATGGCTGATGCAAACCAGAACACAACTGATCGAAGCTCTCACCCATCTGGAGAAGATGGAGGAAACGGCCCAGGTAATTCTGCGATCTCTGCCGAAGGAGGCGAGGGTGCAAGAGAACTTGACATCGACGACAAAGCCGGAGGAGGAGGTACAGCCGAACGCAATCCAGCGGCTGATGACCTCGACGACAAAGCTTGAGGAGGAGGTACAGCCACACGCAATCCAGCGGCTGATGACCTCGACGACAAAGCTTGAGGAGGAGGTACAGCCACACGCAATCCAGCGGCTGATGACCTCGACGACAAAGCTTGAGGAGGAGGTACAGCCGATCGCAATCCAGCGGCAGGCGACCTCCACGAAGCCCCAACCAAGACATCTGGGTGAGGAAATGGAGGAGAATGCACAATCAGGAGAGAAAACCTCCCAGAGAGGGAAGGAGCGGAGGGGGGAAAGGCAGGAGGAGCAAAGGGGCAATGATTGGGCGCAGATGCATCGAAAAAGCTCAGACCCAGGTTTCCTCATCTC